TAATTCACCTGTGTACCCTTCCAGGCAGTGCTGTTTCCAGTGTTCCCAAGGAAGGGTCCTGGCAGGTGTAGGAGGGCAGCTGCTGCTCTGGAATGCATTGAGTTGGAGCATTAAAGGCTTTAATCTCTTCCATCCCTGTTATAACAGAAATCTCTTCAAATTTCTCCTCCTGTGGCTCTGCAGCCCAGTTTTACCTCTTTGACCTCTCCCCACATACTTACTGTGGCCTAAAAAGTCTGCCTCCTCATCTTTGGGAAGGAGAACCTTTGACCACAGGGTGGGAAAACTTGAGTGAGCTCTGTATTCTGATTTGCTTAGGTCTAATTCAAAGACCTTCAGCATTAAAAGTTTTGCTGTTCTGTGTGATTAACATTCTGTCATTTTTTTCGGTGGAAAATACAGAATAAGTATTCAGTGTATTTAGTTATGTACTTGCATAAAGCTCAGTGTGGAGAGAAACAAACAGCACTTCCTCACATGGGCAAGATACCTTTTTCCCTCTCTACAGATGTAGTTCTGACTGAAGCCCAGCATTTTCTTACTAGTAGAGTAAAAGCCAAAGAAAGAATAATTTAATTAGTTTAATTTTTATTGAGGGAACCACATTTGATCAGTGGTCAGTCATAGAAGTGTTCCATCTTCCTTTCCTGCTACAGTTTTAAGTGAGTTACAACAGTAAGCACAACTGCAATTCTTCAATTCTTCATGTTTTGGCTTTATTTTGTGGTTTGTTTTTTTTTTGTTTTTAATTTATTGTTCTTAATTTTCACATTTTCATTTCATTTCATGAAATCTTATGGTTGTACAGAAAGAGGGGAATGGTGCCTTTTCACTCTTTCACTGGGTAACTGCAAACAAGTTCAAACTGTCTAAATTTCCAGGCTCAGTTTTAGGAGTGAAAGCTTTCAAAACTAGGACTCATTAAAAGTCAGTGTAGCTGAGGCCTTTTAAAACTCTTCAAAATTCTTAGAATCTCTTTAAATTGCAATACTGAAAGAAATGCTGTTTAAAAGTGCAACTTTTACTCTTTAATTAGTCTGAAGCTTAATTTGTTTGCAGCCCTAAAAATGTGTCATTCTGTAGCTACACTGTACTTTCCAATCATGGGATCTGAGCGTGGGCACAAGAAATTTTGCCATTATATTATCAAATTTTTATTTGTAAAAGACTGAAGGCTGCACTGTTTTCTTGGATGAGAGATTGCATCTGAAAACTTGTCATGGTCCAATTCCTGTTATTTTTAGTGGAACTGCAAAAGCATTGTTGAAAAATACCCTGTACTGTCTAGAGAAATCAAGGATTTGTTCTTCTGCCTTAGGGGCTTTCTTTCTGTCCTTCTTTGGAGAAGAACACAGCTTTTTAAACTTTGAGGCTAATGGAAATGAGCTTCTGGAGGCATGCCCTGATGCTGCAGAAAGCAATGGCTAATTTCAGCTTCAAACCAAAGGGCATTGACTGTAAATGCAAAGCATCCTCCCTTTGATATCAGCAAAACTTCATCCAGTATATTTCCCTTATCTAGGAAACTTGAGCCTAGAGGCAGGAGCTACATTACATGATTTATTCCAGGGGGTGATAGTTCTGTGCATGTCTCCACCTCCAGAGTCTCCTCTGTATCTAAGTTTTCCAAAAAACAGAGCAAGGTCCAGTGGTTTGAGTGACAGAACTGTGGAGGGTGTGTGGGATCTGCCTTCTGAACCAGAAATGGATGGGAAGGGAAGGATGGAATGGTTCCTGTCTCTCCACAAGGCACACTGGAGATGACATTATTTCTCAGAGCTCCAAGGTAGTGCAGGATGTTTTCATACACCATTCTTGAAGATCCAGAGAACTGCCAGCAGCAGGTGTTATGAAATTTGGGACATGCCAACAGATACAGAATATGAGTCCTCCACTTCCAGCCACAGTTCGTTCCCAGCACAATGGAAATGGAAAAATGGGTGGAAGAAAGGAGGGAAGGAAGGAAGGAAGGCTCACTGGAATATTAATGCTTCCACAGTTCTTATTTCCTCTATTCCCTATCAGTGCCAAACTGTACTGGATGTGTATCCTGAGCTGAGTGCTGCTCAACAGGGAAGTTGTACATTTTATGATTTGGCATTTTATGAGGCCAAAGCTACATTGGGGCAGCACAACATCACCACACTGATCAGAACATTTTCATAGATTTTAAGCCTGTGGAAGTTTAATGAATATGGTCACTGGATAAACTGATTCATTATGAGGTTTTCTGATAAAAAATCTTGGGAATTTTGTGTCAATTGCCCTATCTCGTTTTATTTGCCATGCAATCTTTTTTATTTTCTGGGAATTTTTGCAAACTAACCGACCTAGACTTGATTTTCTCTTTTTTTTTTTTAAGAGAAGGCAATTAAATTCTACTTCTCTTTTTTTTTTAAATGAACAGAAGTATTGTGAATAGACTGCCCTTACCTTCTCTTGAAAAAGATCACCAGTATGATGGGCACTGTCTCTAGATATCAGTATTAATTAATAGGACCAGGTTCTTTTCTCAGTCCTGGCAATGTGCAAAAGAAAATTGGTTTTAAGAATGTTACTGGATACTCCATACTATACTGTTTGTGATACTCCATCACAGGACTAGGCCCAGCACAGATTCTTGTGAAGATTCAGATGTGATTCATCAAAGATGCATCTTACATGAGGGCTTTTAGCAACTGTTGTTTGAAGTGTGATAGGAAACCTCTGCAAACTGATGGTGGTCTCCAGTTAAGAGAAAACAGTCTTTCTGCAGTTAATAGTCCTTCACTTGAACATTTGCCACCTCTATTCTATTTCCCTTCCAGAAAAATGGGAAAAAACCAACAGTTCCCTTAGCTTCCCTTGGATGTGGTTTTCATCCTTTCTCCCAGATTGATTTTTGACTAGAAGCCAAAAGCTACACTGGGAGTAAATGATTCAGTGGTCATCTGAACCCAGGATTCTCCTGCCTTTCAGTACCACTCCAACCACTAGACCACAACAGCATCTTATGCTGCCTCAGAAGAGAGGCATCCTTGTGGGAAAGGGAGGAAAATTCCCAGCAGAACTCCCTTGGACTTCTGACCTTCGATAAAAATGAGGAAACAACACTTCTGATTTTCAAGAGATTACTATTATCATTATGTTTCCCTTAAAGAAGACATGTCAAGCTTTCACAAATTAAACCCAAACAACCTCTGTGTAGATTTTTTTAAAAGTTCCTTATTTGTTTTGCTAATAACCCCTTGATATATTCAGACAGATCCCACATTAACAGAATGTTTGTTTTTTTTTTTTTACTAGCCTTATGCATTTATTAATGTATTTTGGTATAAAAATAAAATTATAGAATGATAGTGGTCATATAACTCTATTTATTATAGAGAATGGGCCAAAATCTCCATCAAATTGTGTTACAGCACATGGACTGTTAGCAGATGGTGGTTACTGAAGTTTGAGTCAGTTGACCCTCAGCTTTTGCCTCACAGTGAGTACCTGAATGCTAGTTATGCTTAACTTCTGGTAAATCTCAGCCATAAACTACAGATGTATTTGGGAAAGGGAGTGCATTTATCACACTCCTTTCAAAGAAACTTCTCTTCTCTGATGTGTTTTGATACGGGTTGTGATTTTCAGATCCAAAAAGAACTTAAAAGCTAACAGGGGGTTTAGCAGAGGTTCAAAATTCTTATTTGAATTCTATATTTTTGTGAAGATCTGCATATTTGTTCTGTCTCTAAGGGACTACCTGTGTAGTTTATGCTTACCTTATTATGATTACCTTGTTTAAACAAATTACAAAACTAATAGCTATATGAGGAAAGAAGGAGATTTTTTTCTTCCCATTCAACTGCCTTTTTTTTGGTTTGTTTTTAAACTGCATTTATACATTTTCTGCATCCCTATCTTGTTCTGATTCTGCAAAACCTATTAATACCAACGTTCTTGCAGACAGATGCTTTGCTGAATTAAATACATTCTTTCTATTTTAGCACGTAAAATTTGAGAAAGAGTGTGGATAAATGAGTTTCCACAACTTACTCTACAGTACTATGTTGCTCTGTGTAAGTCTCAGGCAAAGAAATAAGCAAGGAAAGACTTTGTTTGCAGTTTGTTTCATCTTCTGGTAAAGAAGACTGAAAAAATAAATGATGCACAGGTTGATTTAAGCCAGAACCTGGCCATAACTCCGGGTCACTCTATGGCCCACACTCTGCAAGTACGAACACAGGAGTTTATCATGGTGTACAAAGATAATCTCACTAGAAGTCATGGAAGTCAGAGACTGCTGGGATGAGTCTAAGCACATGTTTAAGAGTTTTCAGGATCAAACATAAATGCTGATTTACTGCCTAGGCAATCTTCAGTACCACCTACTTTGGTTAAGAGTTCATCATTTTTCTGTAATGTCTCCCGTGTGCGGCCATTGCTCTATGTGACAACGAAGAAATACAAAATATTAGTGAGTGCAAAGCTGCCAGATCACAAATACCAAAGGTTCAGAGCTTGCATTGGGAATGCAGTGCAACAAATTGTTGGAGACATTGCACAGACAGTCTTGGCTCACCAAAGAAACAGCAACACACAGGTCAACTAATGTCCATTTGGGTTTTCTTATGAGAAATGGAAATACTTATTTTTCAAATCTTCTACTTTCTTTCTTTATATTCTCACAGAGCTATTGAAGCATAGTGTTTGTGCCTATAGTGAGCACTAGAAGTTATCGCACAATGTAATTAAAAATAGCACTTAAATAATGAATGCAGCTAAATATAAACAATATTATGAAAATATAAACAATACTAATGTCATATAAACACAGCCTTCTAATGTACTTGTATTTAACATTGCCCAAAATAATTTTCAAAATACAATTGTGTTATTATCTATGGATTGCTCAGTGTGCTCCTTCCCTTTCTCTTAATTATATTTATTTTGTCTTTAGCCAAAGGGAATGCTGGCACTCTTGGTAGTCAACATTTCTCTCATTTCTGTAGTAGCCAGACCCTCCAGAAGAGATGAGACTCGCGTTTTGTGGTAACGACAATGCCTCAGCCTACAACATCAGTGCTGGTGTCCTCAGGAATGTCTGCTTTGTGGATGCCCTCAACTTGGTCCCTCATGTCTTCCTGCTGTTTATCACCTTCCCAATTTTGTTCATTGGTGAGTTATTCCATGGAGCTCTGCCTTCCCACAAACACTCGAGCATGTGTTTATACTCAGTCATGTTTGCATGGGCTCAGTGGAACCATTGGATGCTTTGTATTTATGAATTCTGAAAAAAGAAGAGGAAGAATGGCTTCACCCAGAGGATGTGAGGCCAACCTGCTGAAATGTGGGAATTTTAGATATAAATCTGAACTAATCAGTATGAAGAGATGTATGAGAACCAGAAATATCAGATCCAAATTTGCTGTGAAACTTCTCTCTGCAGAAGTTTTCTTCAGATTTGAAATTGGCAACTTGCAACCTTTGTTATTATTAGATATTAGAAGACTTAAAGGCAGTGTGACTGAATTTTCTTGAAGTTACATGAATTACAGAGAATATCCAAAATGTTCACATTGGATCTAATGCTAGGACAGGAGTAGAAAATATTTAATATAGAACAATTGCTTCTTTGCTAACATTTGTAAACAAAAGTAGAGCAATAGAGATTTTTTTTCCCCAACAGAAATAAAAAATAAGAAATGATAAATTAATCTTGAGGAATGTAGGATAGTGGAGGGGCTCAACTCACACAGTCTTGTAAAAAAACCCATCTCAGCTAGTACTCTAATGATAGTTTCTTCTACAGTTGTCCTTTTATCCCAGTTAATTTGCAGTGGTGAAATAAATACAATTTAATACTTTTCCAGAGAGGTCAAACAGTGGCATTCTTACTGATCATAGGAGATTACGAGACTTGAATAACCATCAAAAGTATTAGTGAAAATAAATATTCTCCTGACAACTGCATGAGAAATGCCATGTCAGTTCTTCCATGTTACTTTCCTGGTGTTGCATGTGTTGATGCATGGTAATGCATTTCTTCCACAAGGAAGATTTGAATTTGGGATTGTAATTGGACATGAGATTTTAAGGGCTTTCATCATGCAAAAAGATTCCAAAGCAGTTGAATAAAATGCTACAGGAACCTGTGGGCTAAGACAGTCTTTACCTAACTGTGACATGATCCAGTGACTAAAACTAATTAAATAATTAAACAAGAGAATAAGAAACAAATTCTAACAAATTATAAAGACTAGAAAGAAACCCCAGGGTTATGGAATCTCTCTCCAACAGTGCTGGATTTTTTACCTCAGTGCTGGCTCTTCCTTTGAGGTGAGATGCAGGTCCTCCTTGAAGCACAGGGCTTTGTGCAGTAGTGTTTGATGGAAGTACAATGCAAGGTCTGAGGGCAAAGATAATATTTTAGACTACTTTAACATTAAGTGCTGCTTCAATTTTTTAGAGGCATTAGCCAATTAATTTTGAAATAGTATTGCAGCCGCTGAAAATTCCCTCTATTTTGTAACAACATTAGGAAAAGTAATAGCATTTTAAATTGTATGCTATTTATGTAACTATGTAATTCTTTGTTTTCTATTTTGTATGCTAATTATCAGGACAAATAGTTGTTGAATGGAGCATTAAAAGCCAACTGGAGTCCATGGTATAGACTGACCCTAAACCAGAAATTTGGTGATAAGCTGTGTTTGTGCAGATGTGTGGGCAAAGAAAAAATAAAAAGCATCTTGATAGAGACAAAGACAGGAGCAAGGTCAAAGAAAACCACATTAGATTAGGAAAGTCTTAGAGAACTATAGAAAATGCTTGAGATAGCTATGGAGAAGAGAGAATAATTTGTTCTTGAAGAATTTTGTGTCTTAACCAAGGATGAAATGGTGAAATGTTGACAGTTTCCAAGAATGAATACACTTTGGTTTTGGTTTATGTGTTCCTGAGTCACCTGGTGAGCCTCCAAGCATGATTGGGCACTGCATCCTTGTGTAGCAAAAGCACATCCTGGGTTTTAAACTGAGATAGTTTTGTTTCCTTTTGCTTGGTTTCTTTACTTATCCAAAATGTGCTGTTGGTGGGATTCTCTACAGGCTTTGGGAAGCCTGTCAGGGAATTCCAGGAGTTGCTTTACAGTAAGAGGGACTTTTGGGCCCACTGAGTCAGGACAGCCCCGTACCTGGGCGGGAAGAGGCAGAGGCTGAGGCCCGCCACACCAGAGGCCAGCCTGTGGTCAGGCCTTGTCCCCTCCCGCAGATCCTCTGTGCCCCACCTCTTGCTGGGTTGCTGGACTCAAAGAGGATCTTGCCTGGAAAGGGCAGGTGACATCTGAAGTGATGACAGGGAAATAGGCTTGAGGTTGAATCTGTTGATTAATTTGAGTTCTGGAGCTGTGTTGGGAGCTCTGAGGGGCCAGCAATGGAGAGGCCTGGGCTGCACCTGAGGGAGAGAAATCACTGTTCACCTCCACTCAGACTCCCAACCAGGCCTGAAACAGATAATAAATGTTACTTGTTTCAAGTAAAAGCATCTCTTTGAGGCCACATTTGAGGATGCAACTTTTATATCAGTTGGAAATTTTTCCCGCTCTTTCTGTGACTGTGAAAGACGTGAGGATGCCATCACTTCAGCTCTGTCAGTCCCTGTTGTGTGAGGGTGCCACTTGGGGTGGTTTCTTTTGTTGTTGTTTTCTTATCACTTTTCTTGGCCAGGAAGGACTTTTCTTTGATTGTAATTTGGAAAAAATGTTGTCTCATTGTCTTCAGGGTTTCTTTAAATTATGGGGCAACTGAGACAGTCCTGGGTCATCTTTTTAGTAACAACAGCCCTGTAGCCTGTAGGGGGTTTGTATTGATTGCATGTAAGTGTGCCCAGAAAACTGATAAGCAGATCAGTCACTGACTTGCTTTCTCTTTCCTTGCTATCATTTCCCAGGCTGGGGAAGCCAGAGCTCCAAAGTGCAGATTCACCACAACACCTGGCTGCACTTCCCCGGGCACAACCTGCGGTGGATCCTGACATTCACCCTGCTGTTCGTGCACGTGTGTGAAATAGCAGAGGGGATTGTTTCCGACACGTAAGTGGCAGAGTTTGGTAACCATGATAACCATGCTAATTGCATTTGTTAATGAACAATGTTAATGTCTGATGGGCTGGCTAATAAGGCATGAGGAGGTTTTTCCCCAGAAAGTTCATAGAATCCTTTCATGAACTGTCCAGGTTTTAATGGGATGAAGGTGAAGCCGTTAGCATTTATTCTTCTCTCAAGCTATAATAGCAAGCAAATATTGGTCAAAGTTAAGCACTCATGAGGACAAAAATCTTTTTGTCTCTAGAGATTCATGTCTGTCCTCTTCAATAGATTAGCAGAACACTTATGGTTTCACACCATTGTGAAAAAAGGCACTAAATTCACTAATTTATATTGTTTTTATTTTCAGACAAATGAAATCACGCCACCTGCATCTCTTTCTACCAGCTATAATGGGATTTGTGGCTGCCACTGTATCCATAGTCTATTACCATAATATTGAAACATCCAACTTTCCAAAGTTACTTCTGGGTAAGTCTATGTCTGATATTTATGTCCTCTTACAAATCCCAGTATTTTAGCCAAACTCAGCTTGTGTAGGTTGAGGAGGATGGTGGAATGTGTGACAATATTAAAACAGAGAGGAATAACTCTCTGCTCTTGCAGATATGGTAGTATCATAGGAGTTATTGCACTGGTAGTATCATAGGAGTTATTGCACCTTTCATAAGGTACACACTGAAAACTACTTTTAAAATTATTTCAAAAGAGAAAACTTTGCATGCCTGTGTCATTTCTATCATGAGCTTTTAGGTATTTTTTAACACGGGTGATAATTTTGAGGAAAAACTTGTCTGCATGCAAAAGGGCTGTTTCAAAAGGCCACTTTGAATAATGATCTGACCACAAACTCCTGTGCAGATACTGCTCTTTCTCAACATCTTTTGCAGCTGATTTCAAGATTATCCCATTTGCTCTCTCTGTCAGGAGATGGTCAGACCAGATGTGACAGAATAATGTTCCATAGAAGTATGTTGTACAAATTGCCTGTAACTCAACCACCTGAACAAGGCCCTGTCAGATCCCAGCCAGAATGCAGGTTAACACTAAATTCCATAAACTCTTTTTCCAAATGAGTGCATTTCCATATTCTCACTTGGGATGCACCCTGCTTTTTTTAAGAGGCAATAAGACTTTTGTCAAGTTGTGTGCCTTTTCCTTCACTATAAGAACAAAGTTCCCCTTCAGATTAAGTCCTCTTCAGTGGAGTTTTGTATCTGTGTGAAGATCTGCCATTGTGGATCTGTTTGAAGGGTTGTGGCCCAGGAAAGAAAACAGTGGCTGGTGATAGAGACTATCACTGTGCCTGCACCATATCAAGCCATGGAAGCTAAAATGCTGTAGTTACACTTATTTATTAATTTATTTTTAAATTATGTACACGCACCTGTTTTACAGCCCTGTTCCTTTACTGGATAATGGCCTTTGTCACCAAAACCATCAAGCTTGTCAGATACTGCCAGGATGGGGTGCCTTTTTCTCAGCTGCGTTTCTGCATCACTGGAATCATGGTCATCCTCTATGGGCTGCTGATGGCTGTGGAGATCAATGTCATCCGAGTCAGGGTATGTGCCTTCTTCCTCAGGATCCAGAAGAATATCAGTGGCATCATGGGGGTGAAGATGTCTCCTTAGTCCCAGGAACTCTGGCTTGTGTCAAGTTTAGGCCCAAGTTTAGCTTAGCCATAAAGGTTTGGTTAATTCTGTGGATATCAGTGGTGATTTAAATCTCTTTAATATGTATGTCCTTGACGTATCCCCCAAGCTTGGTGTGTGTGCATGCCTGTGTGCATCTATCCACACAAAGTGCACTCGTATTTGTGTAGATAGATGCATAGTTGTGCACATGAGGAGGGTTTAGGTGGATGCAATCTGTAAAATATGTGCTGTGTTAGTGCTAATGAACTGTTTATGTAGTGAATCTTTAAGTTAGCATAAGTTCTTACCCATGATAATTTAAAATAAAATTATTTCCCAATATTCATTTTTACTGTTGTTCAGCTTGAGATAGGTGGTACTGATAGGGTTCAGAACAGTATCCACGTCCAATGTTGCTCAATTGTTTGCCAGTTATCTGTCAAAATGGAAATGCTCCTTTTTACACACAAATTCCACATACAGTTACCTTTAAAAGCAAATTTGAGACTCTGGTTGTCTTACACATAGTTTTTACTAAAAAATTACTATCAATAAGATAATTTCTGAGCCCATGTTTGTCTGTTTTCTCTTTTGCAGAGGTATGTGTTTTTCATGAACCCTCAGAAAGTAAAGCCTCCAGAGGATCTGCAGGATCTGGGGGTGAGGTTCCTGCAGCCATTTGTCAATTTGCTCTCAAAGGCAACTTATTGGTGGATGAACACTCTCATTATTTCTGCTCACAAGAAACCTGTGGACCTGAAGGCCATTGGGAAGCTGCCAATTGCAATGAGAGCACTGACAAATTATGTCTGTCTCAAAGAAGCCTATGAGGAACAAAAGGTAATAACAGGTGTCCATGTCACTGTTTGGCCTTAGAAAGCTAAAGTGTCACTTTGAATTTCTTCAGCTTTCATCAAATCCTCATTTTAGGAATTTTTAACTTAGGACTGTTTGTTCCAAGGTGAAACATTGGCATAGGAAGTTCCAATCCAATAGTTACTGTTTGGTTTTAAGTGAATTTATAGCAGGAGACAGTTGCCAAACTCAGTGCAACTGGAAACTAAAACCACAACAGACTGATCACTTGCTAGATTTTAACAGTGAAAGATTTGTTTAAATCTTAGCTACTTTTGAAACTGGAAGACATTCTGTCCATAGTTTCAGCTGGAAACACTCATTTTCACCTTTTTTTTTTTTCCAGACAGAAAAATAGCCAAAACCACACATCAAGAATAGCCAAAACACTGGTGTCTTAGCAGTGATTTAGTCACCAGTCCCAAACACAGAACCATACAGGCTGCAATGAAGGAAATTAACTCCATCCCAGCCAGTACAGAAAGCATGGTTTGGAAAACTGTCTGGGTAGGGCAGGATTTTCCAGGGAAACTTCTGGATGCATTTAGGCATCTCTTTGCTCCCAGGAGCTAATGGAGCTGCAGGCTCCTTCCTGTGCCTTCTGAGATGAAACAAGTATCAGTACAATTGTTTTTACCTTAATAGATATAGGTTACTTCTTTTTCCTTCTGCAGTTGAGGATTACAGAGACCAGAGATCAATATCCTGCTGCTTTAGGCAGAAAGCTACTGAGTTTTGGAACTGAGCTTTACACAGCAACTTAGGAGAGGTGCATCCCTTAGACCAGCTTCCTAAGGTGCCTAAAGCCTTAAAGAGGCAAAAGAGAGATATGCACCTACGTGGCCCAAGGGCCTGAGTCTGTGCCATTCTTGACCCAGCACAACAGCTGGGTGCCAGCATTTGTCTGTAGCTCGTTCACATCTGCAGGTACTGTCTGTGCCTGCACAAAAATGCAGTTCAGATGCCAAAAGGCAAGGTAAATGTGCATTTCTCTTGTGCATGAGCACAAACTTTCAGTGTGTAGCTTCCCTCAGTGCATATCATGCACATATAGACACTCGCATAAATGTTACATATGCAGTCACACTTACATTTCTGATACTGCCTTACATCATGTATTTTGTGTTCTGTAGTTGTTTAAAGCCTTGAGATTACCACAGCCTTTAGCACATTTGTGCTACTATTCAAAAACAGGCTGCAACCCTGAAGTAAACTGGTATTTTGTAGATAAAGTTAAAGTAAACCAAATGGCTAAAGCAAATCCATGGAGCCAGGCAGTGGGACTCACTGCAGTTCATTCCTGTGGAGAAATGCATTGGCTTGTGCCTGGGTGGGCCAGAAAACAGCCACAGAATTAGGAAAATTCTTCAGACTGGAGTGTGGTCTGCAGTCTGGAGGAGGTGATATGCCACTGTCTCTGCTCCAAGTGTGTATTTTACACTAATCTCCTGCTGGTGAGGGGAGCACCACAGCCTCCCGTAGATTAAGTGGGGTTACCCCAGCCTGTGCCTGCAGATCTCAGCTGCTCCATAGCCCTGCAGAGAGAAAACTCCTGTCCTTCCCAAACCTTTCTTCTCACACCTTAATGAAAGATGCTGAACACGACCTTGAATACTCTGTATTGTGAAATGCCTATGAGATAGCTCACATGACATTGTCTTGCTGTCTCTTCTGCATGCTATGAAAATGGAAATAATAGTATCAATTCTCACATAATTCCATTTACATCCCTTGCCGCCCCCCCCCCCCCCCAAAAAAAAAAAGTGATCCTCCAGAACTGTTGCTTGGCTTTTGTTTCAGTTTCTATTGAAGCAGGCTAAATGTTTCACACCGCATATCAGTGCATTGTATATCACATATCCAAAAATAGATTTAGCACATTGATATTACATTTGGTTTACCCCACTGGCCTGAATCCTGTGTAATTTGTCCTGATAGTCAATAGAAACCTTTTCTTTTGGGCACTTAATAGAAAATTCAATTTTTAAAGTCAAGGACCATTGGTTTCCTATGTCTGCTATTCATGTGCCACTATGGCTCTTAGCTATTAGGGCCAAGAAAAGGAGGAATGAAATTGTGTTAACTATCAATCACAGGGACAGGGCATTGCCCTTCAGCATCAGGCTTATACTGCCAGTTCCAGAATGATGGGAACAGTCAGATTTCCATATTTACTGAGGCAAACCTTACAGGTGACTTGATTTATCACAAAGCACTGTCTCACTGCCCTTTATTCCAACTGTGGAGTGTCCAAGGTAGAGAAAATTACAGGAATTTGAAAGGAAGTTGACAAAGACAAGGAAAACCAAATCAAGTGGCACAGCTGGGAACAGCATCCCAGACTGGTTAATTAATACCGCAACATTCTATGCAAGCCTGTAACACTCAAGGACCATTCTGGCAAAGAAATTATTATTAGAAAAAGGTCTTTCTCCCTTCTTCCTGTTACATGCTTCAGCTAATACAAAGTTCTGATTTAAAAAGAAGAAAAAACAGTGTGTAGCAATAAATTAGATAATTTAATAGCATTTTTTTTCCAATGAAAAGGAAACAGATTTCATATAGAGATGGCTAATGTGTGAATTGCAGTAATAGTGAAAATGGCTATTAAATTGTTAGAGAAATAAGGATTAACCATTGCTATTTAACAAATTTACTATTAATTGAATGCCCAGAACAATATAACAATTTTTTCCCCAAAAGACGGAAGCCATTTACCTAATAAATTAGCTTAGCTGCTCTCAAGCTGTTAAAGTTATCAATCATTTATTTGAAGATGGTGATTAATCCTTTTAGGGTACTCAAGCTCAAAACCCATTATGCCACATATTCAGAGCCTTTTGTCTGGGCAACTCACACGAGGCCCTTGTGCTCTTTCCCTCCTCAGAGGAAGCAATTTCCTTCTTGCCCCTTTCTGAAATGGTAGCTCTAATTTGACTCCATTTCTCCTTCCTAAGCTTCTTGGCACTAGCCTGGCCCAGTCTCTGGCAGCCACCTGGTCCACCTGCACATTTTTGGCACCATGCATATAATCCATCTCACTGTGGAAATGACATAAAAGGGAAAAACTAAGAAAAGAGGGTGGGAAAAAGACATTAGGCAGCCAGGCAGTTTACAGGCACATTTGCTTTTTCTTTGGTGAACTTGTTGGGTCAGGGGATGGTTGTTGCTTGGCTGTGCTTAAAATGTCTCTGTGAATGCTCAAGAGAGCTTGGCTTGGCTTGCAGCTTGCAGGCATCTCTGCTACTTGAGAAATGACAGATGCTTGTTTAAAGTGTCAAAAGCTGCTGCCTGAAGTGCAAGGAAGCATGCTGCAGAGCATGGCTCTGGTCAGTAAAACTCTTCCTTTGTTAAACTGAAAGGACCTCAGGGATATCAGAACTCTTCTGATTACACAAAGCCACATCTGCTGGGTGGTGTTTTAGCCAAGAGCTGTGATACTGTGTAAATTAACAGATCTGAAGGCTAGAAAGGACCCTTGGTTGATTTAATCTTACCTCCCATCCTGGTCTGCTGCTTTCATTTTTTCAGCACAGTTATCATTGATTGGTTGAAGTGTGTCATCCTGGAATGCATATAAGAGATGGAAAAAAATCCAGATTAATTAAATTAAACTATATTCTTGTAATTGTCATGTATTTTTCCTGCAATCAGAAGCCTTTATAGCTTGTGAAACCAGGATTACCCACGTGAGCAAAGGGCTGAAAGGTCAGACCTTTCCCTGAGCACACATGTGACAAGGGACAATGGCTGCCTGCCAGGATGATAATCTTTGCTTGCATTCCTGTGTTCACAGGTTGAGGAAAGTGGTGGGATATAGAAGTGAGAAACCACAGTTACCAAGGGGAGGCAGAATTGGAATTTACTGTGAAGAATGTCGGAAATCTGTCGATAATTACAGCAAATTTGCTGCCTCACCTGGTCTAAACAACCTTTTAGGAACCTTTTGGGTATCCAGACAGGAATGATGCCATATGAAGCCTGGGAGGTTTCTCTTATTTCACTGGGTACCTGTTTCTGTTTCCAGAAAAAGGTGGAGGACCATCCAAACCGGAGTCCCTCCATTTGGTTGGCCATGTACAGCGCTTTTGGACGGCCAATCCTGCTCAGCAGCACCTTCCGCTACCTGGCCGACCTGCTGGGCTTTGCTGGGCCACTCTGCATTTCTGGCATTGTCCAGGGCTTCCAGAATACAACCAATAATACAAACACCACAGAAAAGGTAACCTGACAATGTGAATTGAAAGGCTCTGGTAGCAGTTTTAGAGCCATATCAGGTATTTAAGACAGCTGGCTGCATGCTTTGATAGGTCTGTGGTCATCACTGTGTTATTTCATTGTTTCTCTCAAGCAAATTGAATATTTCTGTTATGAGAGACAGTCAAGTTATAAACCTGAGCAATGAGAGACTTGGGTAGGAATGAAACACACGTTGTGGAGGCTCCCTCCAGCTCCCAGCTGTCTGTCTTGATGGAGTCATCCCAGCAGTTCTGGGAAGAAGGAACAATTTTTTCTGCTCCTCTTCAACTGTGCCTGTTTCTTTCAGGCAGGACACACACTGGTGGTACCTCAGTGATGCATCCAGCATGGGAATTTTGCTTAATTCCTGTCCATTTGTCAGTTTATACTTCACTGACAGTTTTGACTTCTCTCAAATCTGTTTTTATACTAGGAAGCTGACAGTAGCCAGTCCCTGTTTGTGGCTGATTGTATTGATTGCTGCTGTGATGAACTGTGTTGGCACATACTGAGAAATTGAAAAGTATCCACTTTACTCGATGGTGTTCCTGATACTAGAGATGCACAAGAGATGCCAGTTCAGTGCTCATTTCAAGTTTCACTGAGACTGAACTTTCAGGGATCACATCTAAATGCTGAGCAAGCCTCTGATACAGAACATTTTCTATCACAAGAAAAAGAATTTATGAGTAACTAATGAAAAGATACAGGTAAAATTATTTTACTGACAGGAGAGAAGAAAAGACAAAGACATTTTCCTGCATTTGTCTTGTGACAGAGATACATCTCCATACAGTTTTTGGAGTGTTTTATCTCTGAATGAGCAGATAGGTATGTAATGGAATAGCATTTTCCTCCCCAGATAAAGTATTTGACTATCATCACTATCCACATATCTTTTTCTTGGCTGCTCACTCTTGACATTAATTTTCTTGACTGATGGTCTCAATTTGGCTTCAGACTTTCCTGCACTGAAGGAGAGTTTAATTGTACAGCTTATCAAATAAAGCTTTTTATCATCCTTGAACCTGCACATGCAGGATTTGAGCCACAGAGTTACGAGGCAAAGTGCATGTTTTTGTGCCTTCAAAAATGTTGGGGTTTTTTGCATGGTGAAAAAACAAAGCTTGAAAATAATTTCTGGATCTCAGAATTAGGAATTTGTACCTTGTCTGCTTCCTTTATCTTTTGTCCTCTGCTAGTTGTGGCTTTTTAAAGTTTTAATGAGCATTGGCTAAAGGGAAGATTGAAATCATTGGAGATCTTGAAAGCACTTGGCTTGCTGACAGTCACTGTTTCTCTTGGATACATTTCAGAATGCAAGTGCCTTTAATTTATGGATTTTGATAAACTTTCTCTTGGTTGTTCTTGCTATTAAACATTTCTCCTTTAAATTCTGTCTAGTTCTAATTAATGTGAATACATTTAATTTTATGCATATTCTGCCTTATTTCCTGAGAACTCCATATACATTAAAAAAAGCTATCTACAAATGTTATTTTCTTAATGATATCCCTGCTATGAAAACAAGGGGAAGTTATATGCAGCTGAATATTAAAAGGGAGGTTTTCAAATATATTTATCTCACCATTCATGCACGTAAGCAACCCTTTTTTCAAGGAGTCTTGGGCAGATTGCTTTCTTTCTTATATTGCCCATACCTTTCATCTGAGAATCAGGCTGGATATTTTAGTAGAACAGGCTTCTTCCTTCTCTTTTCTATTTTTCTTTTTTTTCTCCCCGTAAGAATTCCAGTACATCCTGCTTCCAGCTGGGTCGGAAATACCAAAGGAACAGTCTTCCTTGGAGTATTTTGGTACATTTGTTTCCTTTTCTGCCTGAAACAGAGCAGAACAGTGAACACAAAAACTAGAAAATGAAAACAAAGGGCTTTAAACAAAATTTTTTTCTCTTCCATATTGAGGCATTTAAATTTAATTTTGTGTGGAATACTGGCATGTATAGTCTAATGTTATTCAGAATTTATGGCTATCATGGACTATACTTGTGGAAGGAATTCTTTCAATAATATGCAAGTGCAACATAAATAACTAATCCCATATAATAAAAAATATTTTCTTGAAGCTTCTCTGGAGGCAGGTGGAATGAGCTTTACTTTCTACTGAGTAGCATTTCTATCCTACAAATCACCACAATTTGATGGGGAAACTAAAGACATGGCAGACATGGTGATCTTATTCTTCCTTTCCTGCTAAAACGAAATCATTTTAGAACTGCCAAAATGTCTCAATCCTCAGTCTTTGGAACAGGAGTGGAGTTTTAAATTTGTATCCAAATGATTTTGATATAGAGGTTAGTGAGAAATCAGATTTCTATAACTTTCCCATAACACCAGCAATATGTTTTATTCTAATGCAATGATTAAATTTGCTTGTTTCCAGCTTCTCGGGAATGTACAATCCCTCCTATGGCACTTGCATAATTTCTTCCTTTCTTTTCAGGTGAAGGATCCATCAAACTCCTACCTTTCATCGGAGGAATTCCTCAGGAATGTTTATGTCTTGGCAGTCCTTCTCTTCCTGGCTCTTATCCTGCAGAGGACATTCCTGCAGGCCTCCTACTATGTGACTACAGAGACTGGCATCAACCTCCGGGGTGCCTTACTGGTGAGCAAAGATCTGCCAGGAGATTCACTAGTAACAGCTCCAGCTTTGTCCTTTCATTTGTCTCGTTCTTCATCTGAAGACTGAGCTTGAAATGATGGTTTCAGAGAAGATATGTGCTGTATTTTTATACAGAAAACTGGAAAAGTAGTGCTGGCAAACTGCTGGCACCAATTCCTTTTGCTAAAAACTAATCCCATCACTCTAACCTGTTCAAAGTTTAACACCCATAAAAACCCATGCATATGAAGACACATCTTTGCAGACAATGGGAGATAGATGAAGATCAGCAGTATCATTTTGGCTCTGCATCAGCTTTGTTCATTTGCTTATGAGTTTGCTTCTGCTGACTGTGGACAGAGCCATCTGCAGAGTGTCCTTGTTTTATGGGAACGCTGTGCATGCGTCGGCAGTGATGACTCTGGATATTTATGCCCTTTAGCCCAGAGCCCTGTGGGATGGGACGGGAGTGATTCATCTGCAGGGCTGTGTCTGTAACCCCAGCATCCCTTAACCCTCTGTGAGAGCCTTGTTTATGGACTGGAGCCAGCACAGCCCAGCACGTGGTGGGGTGTAGCAGGGCTCTGCACAGACCAAGCTCCACAGGCAGCAGTAGCAATCCAGGAGCCAGAACTGATGTTTTGCCAGATGCAGCTAACCATGGGAATATCATCTCAGCATGGAAGCTTCTTTTTTTTTTTTTTTTTTGTGCTTTCTCTGATTGATGGAGCTGCTTCAAACATTTTCTGCCTTCTCCCAGGATAGATGGTACAGACTTGGGGATGAAAGAGCTCCTGGTTATTTCCTTTTTGTGACTCCTTTTTTGTGACTCCCACTTACCAAAATTGGGACCCTTAGGAGCATATGCAGCTGATATAATTCATCAGGCATTTCTGATTAATTCGACAGGATATACTTTATTAATTAAGAAAATGGGTCCAAAAGGACAAATTATTTTTAAAACTTCCTTAGAGCTGCAGCATTTGATGATTGATCATAACTGCAAACTGGGCTCACAATATTTGCCTTTAAAATTCAGTAGATGTAAGCCCTGATTAATTTTAAAACCCTGTTAAACTCCTACAAAATTTATGAAGAGGAATGGCCAGGTAATGGAGAGGAACCCAAAGGAATACATACCCACTCTGATCAAACTTCACAGCATAAATTTACCTGTCTTATCAGAAACAAGGATCTCTTTGACAGACAGTGTCACAGGAAAGCAGGCTCACCAAATGCTTGTTAAAAAGGTTCTTTGGCCAATTTCTTAAATTTTGATATTTTGTTGTCATTTTTTGTTCTATTTTAGGTCTGCGTTAAGCAACAAACCTTTTAAGAGGAATTGGAGTTTTTTAAAGTCAGTTCTCTCTCTTGTGCTTTCTCTCACTCTGTCTCCATCTCTCTTTGTCTCAGGTGAGAGACTGGGAGAAGGGCTGTCCTAGGTAAAGGCTGATGATGCAGCTTGAAACACCCCACTGCTACCGTTCTTTTATAATTACATCATTTTAGTAACTTTTTTTTTCCCCTTTCTTACAGGCAATGATATATAATAAGATCCTGAGGCTTTCTACATCCAACTTGTCCATGGGAGAGATGACACTGGGACAAATCAATAACTTGGTTGCCATAGAAACCAACCAATTAATGTGGTTCTTGTTCCTGTGCCCCAATCTGTGGGCAATGCCTGTTCAGGTAGAGCATCCAAGTTAGGGCCTGATATCAGAGATACTCCAGCCTGACTGAGGAGAGTGCATGTCTGGGGCACTGCTACAAAATCCAGAGGGGAACCTGCACTTCCCACTAAGATTAGCAAGCAGAAAGGTGCCCCAAGGGCTGGAAAGGTATCTTTCCAAGGGCCAGTGAAGAGAGAGGATTTTTTTAGCAGAATTTCCATGTCTGTGACTTGAAGAATGAGGACCTGCAATCCTTTTTCCTGCTCATATTTCTTCCATTGCTGACACAAATCCATTGCTTTTATTTTGCCACCTGGCATCAGCCCTAAGCATTGCTTCTGCAGTGTCCACTTGTAACTGGGTTTTGTGGCAGGACCAACAGCAATTGAATCCTGCTCCATGACTGACATGAATACTGACAATGCTCAGAGGAGCCCTCATCTAAGCAACTTAGTCACTGAACATAACTGCTTTTTATCAAGGCTGGGAAAGAAATGGAGGCAGATCTGTAGGAAGGAAAGGTTGAGATTATTTAGCTCGAAAGAAATTTTCAAAAATGCCAATGACTTAATGATCTGAGACATGCTAATTTTCCCTGAAGCTTCGACTCCTGTTGCCTCTTCAGAATTTTAGCTCAGGGTGTGTTTGGCATAGTCCTTACCTGATGGTGATCCCACTGACATTAAAAAAATTTTTTAAGTGGTAGAACCAACTCTTATAGTATTTTGCTGAATTTCCTGAAGCTGCATCAGTAATCTATTTTATTAGTCAGTAATTACTATTACTAATGAGTTGGGTAGGGTTTAGAGTGTCAAAAAAGGCAAAAAAGGCTGCATGGAAACAGAAATTAGAAACAATATATATGGTTTCATTTCACTGTTTCACATCCTGTGAAGTGGCTGGAAGTGTTGCTATCAATACTTTGAAAGTTATTTAAATGAACATGTGATCTGATTGCTATGGCTAGGTATGGTAATTTGCAGTACAGGACCCTGAAAAGGTAAACATTGCTTTAAAAATGTAAAACACCATTGATTCTTACTTCTGATGTTGTAAAATAAGAAGGGAGATTTAAAGACAGACTTGTTTAAGAGATTAAAGTATGAGATATGCAACTAATTCTGTATGCCCTCTTATCACTGAGGACATCACTCTATCCCAAAGTGGAGCTTTTAATAGAAATATTTATATAGCAGAGCTTGAATTAACTCGGGAACCAGAATCACAGGAGTCACACGACAGCCATTCCCAGGTAACCTTCTGTAGGAAGTGTTCCCAAACCCTTTGCAGGGCTAAGGCAGCATTTTCCTCCAGGGCTGCATGGTATTGATGCCCAAGCTCAGTTTGTGTCAGCCCCAGCACATCTGCTTCGTGCTTCAGTGCCTGTCTGTGATGTCCCTCTGCCTGCAGTTGCACAGGGACAGTACAACACAATGCAACTGTGATCCATGACAGCCCTAAGACCTCTGAATGCTTCCAGAGTGAGGTAAGGAGCTCTAGTGTAAACAGGACTTGAGGCCAGGAGCTCTGTAAAATGCCTCAGGGCAAGCACCATCATTTTAGTGTTCCTTTAGTTTTGTGGAAACCCAGTCTGGAATTAGAACTACCAGGCACTAACACAAACTATTTAGTTAATGTCAAAAAGAAAGGCTTCTGGGTTTATTTCCCACACTTTCCAAATGTGACCTCCTGAAGTATGGGCTCAGCTGATTCCTATGAACCATTTAAGTGTTTATTAGAAGAACAAACATTTTTCTCTTGGTGTGGTTCAGGCATATTGAAATCTACTTTTTTTTTTTCTTTTTTCCTTTCTGTGTTGCTTTTCTCTTCACAGATAATAATGGGTGTGATCCTCCTCTATAACCTGCTGGGAGTGAGTGCCTTGGTTGGGGCAGCTGTCATCGTGCTCTTAGCTCCTATCCAGTACTTCATAGCCACCAAGCTGGCTGAGGCTCAGAAGAGCACTCTTGTAAGTGAATTATTTCAGTGATATTTGTGATCCAGAAATGAGAACAGGGTTTCTGGGTTCTGTTCTTCTAGTTAGTGAAAACCACTGTGTGCATTTGGACAGGCCATCCCTCAGTTGCACTGTCCCTCACTGTCTGTTTTTTGTGGCTCAGTGTCTCTTCTTCCCCACAATTTGTCAGAAGAGAATCTCAAAAAAGTATGTGGGCCTTGGCCTGCCTTCTCTGCAAAGAGTATTTTTAATGCAACTTGCACAATTTTGTCTGAATTCCACTCCATGAAAGGGTGTTATTCCCACATGCAGATGTTGCATTTCATGGGATGTTAGCAAACAGTGCAAAAAACTGATAAATTATAGCAGAAAAGTATTAAAGAATGTGCACAACCTCCCTCTGTAAAGTCTAGAGACATTTTACTCTCTGCCTAAGCTTTGGTATTTTCTAAAAATCAGTTGGCACTGCTGGATTATTATATATTCATATCTAAATTCTTCAGTGCTGTAAGTTTATTTTTCTGCCTCATTTAGTTCACCAGTTAGAAATGTTTTCTACTCTTTTGTCTAATTTTTAACTTTCTTGCTCTGACCCTTGAACTTTTTAAATAAGCCTTTGATGTTTAAATTGCCAAATATTTAGAGATCCTTTTTATCTTAATATTCAATAGGCAAATTATTGATGCATGGATCTAATTGTCAGCACACTTCAATCCTGTTGAGTTGTGCCTGTTTTTGTAACCTGTAAAAATTGTACAGAGGACTTATCTTTGCATCGTTTCGGAAATAATCTCACTTTCCTACTGCTCTATTCTGCCTTCCTCTGACTCATAACATCTTTTGGATTATGATTTTACCAAAACTTACCATTACTGTTTTCTGATGAGGGGAATTTAGCTAAATACATTGATAAATATCTCACTTATTTTTACAGCTAGATCCCAGAATGATTCTTGCATCAGCAAATACACCCATTTAGGTTTCTGTCTATGGTTACGGACACCATTTCCCCTAGTGGTTGTAAATATTTTAATACCTCCAAAGAAAATGAAATTTTATATTCTTCCTCTTAGTATGGCACCTGTACAAAATCACAAATGAACAAAATTATTTTTTAAATGAATCTAACAACAGAAGTGAGGGGAAAAGAGGGTTGTCATTAAGACTACAAACAGTTATAAATTTTTTTTCCCTGGTTTTCTCTTGAACTGAAGGACTATTCTACTGAGAGATTAAAGAAAACCAATGAGATACTCAAAGGCATTAAGCTATTAAAGCTTTATGCCTGGGAGCACATATTTTGTAAAAGTGTGGAAGAAACGAGAATGAAAGAGCTCACCAGTCTCAAAACCTTTGCACTTCATACATCTCTTTCCAGTAAGTAACTGTGTTTATAGGGCTTGGAAAATTATCCTGTTTTTCATGTCAACATTCCTCCCAACTTCAGTTAAAGAGAGATACAGCTGTGCCTGTGACATTTTTGTCTGTGTGTAATGTCGTTAAAATAAAAAGGCATGATAAATACATAGCACAGAAATTCAAAAGGATAAAATACATATTGTTGGGGTTTTTTTGCAGTAAGTTTTCTCTTACCATCATTGTGACATTACAGTTAGGAGTTGCTTTATAGTAAGGAGGCTCCAGGTAATATTGGCAGCTCTGACAGCAACAAAGATAAATTATATTTTCTTCATAAAAATTGTGTTTTCGGCAATGTAGAAGGGTTAAGTAATGTTTTAGTTGTGTTTCATATTAATTGTGCACATAATGATTTTTATCCCAGCTTAGTAGAGTGGACAAATGAGAGAATTCTATGGCTTATTTGTTGGTGTGTTTAAGATCTCTGACTATCAGGGAAGGAAATTTCTTCCTGCAGACTAATTTTCCTTTGGGAATCTTAATTACTTGAATTGGAAATAACTGCATTATTTTAGTGTTTCTTATTTCCTATAATCTGATGCTTATTTTATTTCTCTTTCCCAGTTTTTATGAATGCAGCCATACCAATAGCAGCTGTTCTTGCAGTAAGATACCTTTTTTTTCAGTTTTCCTTATTAAAAAGGGAGAGGAAAGTGGGGAGAGGGGGTGTAAAAAGGAAGAAATAGCACCATTGTTATTGTAGGACCTATTCTTTAAAAAAACAGCAGATGAATTAAGGTGCCTCTGCTAACTGTAGGAGAACATGACACTGAAAGTTTTCATTCCCAGAAGGTGGATTGGTAAAACCAAAGAGAAAAATAATTTTTTACTATAAGAAAGAAAAATCATTACATCTTGAATTTTTGAAAGAAAGAAAGAAAGAAAGAAAGAAAGAAAGAAAGAAAGAAAGAAAGAAAGAAAGAAAGAAAGAAAGAAAGAAAGAAAGAAAGAAAGAAAGAAAGAAAGACCATTGCAACTTGAAAGAGGACCCATTTTGAAAAGCTCTTTTTGAAAGGGATTTTGAGTGTCTTTTCTTTTTCTTTAGCAGCAAAATTAATTCCTGTTTCAAAATGCATTATGAGGCACCATTAAAGTTTTCAAGGGTACTCTGCAGTTTAAAGAGGAATAAATTTTGCTTGTCCTCCAGGTTTAAGTCTCAGCCTCATGCACTAGAGGAATTATGCCATACTGGTCAGTAAGGAGCTGTCATAGACCAAATTTTGGGGGCAGAGTATGCTGAGTGTGTACAAGAATTGGAACATTTATGACCAGAATTCTGCATCTGTGAAAAAAAAAATCCTAAGTTTTGTTAGATTCTTAATGGGTTTTTTCTGGGTTGTGTGTTTCCTGTAAATCTTAAAGTCAATTACAAAGCTGTGATCAAATGCTAGATTTTACAATGAAAATTGTAAAAAATGAAAAATTGTAAAATTTGAAAACTTTCATTCTTCAACATGTAAACCTCTTGAAATCACAGGCAAGATTTTAAAATCTATTTTGTTTTAACAGAACACACCTTTCTCTTAAGTTTGTCCTGATTCCCAGTGAACTTAGTTTGTTCTTAGCCTTAGCTGAGCAAAATATTTTGCTTGCTGTCCTTGTCCATCTTGTTCAAGAGTCCTTGTCCTGACATGCTCTTTCCCTGATGTGACAGACCTTTGTGACTTATGCCTACACCAGTGACAAGCCACTGCAGCCCGCCCAGGCATTTGCATCCCTGTCACTGTTCCACATCCTGGTCACACCTCTGTTCCTGCTCTCCACCGTGGTTCGTTTTGCAGTCAAGGCCATTGTGAGGTAAGTGGTTCTTCTCCTTCCTCCAACTCCTGAACACTCACATTCAGTACCAGAAAAAATTGTTCCTACCAGCTCACATGGAAGAGTGTTGTGAGGTAGCCCTCTGATGCTAAAGATGTGAGAGAAATCAGAGTGACCCTTCCTTTTTACTGCATGCATGACACAGAGACAAAGAATCACAGCATAGGAAGGACAGAGAGCTCTAGAGCCAGTCCAGAGCAGGGTCACAAGGGGATCAGAGGGATGGAGCAGCTCTGCTGGGAGGAAAGGCTGAGGGACTTGTTCATTGGGATTGTTCAGCCTGGGGAAAAGAAGTTTTGGGGTGACCTCATTGTGGCCTTACAATTCCTGAAGGGAACCCACAGGAAAGATGGAGAGAGACTCTTGACAAGAGCCTGGAGTGACAGGACAAGGGGGAATGGCTTCACACTGACAGAGAGCAGGTTTAGGTTGGATATGAGGAAGAAATTGTTCCCTATGAGAGTGCTGAGGCCCTGGCACAGGCTGCCCAGAGAAGCTGGGGCTGCCCCATCCCTGGCAGTGTTCCAGGCCAGGTTGGACAGGCCTCTGAGCAAGCTGGGCTAGTGGAAGGTGTCCTTGCCCATGTCAGGGAGGTTAGTACCAGGTGATCTTTAAGATTCCTTCCAACCTAGGCCATTCTGTGATTCTCGTTCCATTCTTTTTAAAATTTCACTAACTTTGGCACTTGGGATTGATTCAGAGCTTCACTGTCCTTCCTTGGGAGGTGCTCCTCCTCTCACACACTAACTACCCACCACCACTCTTCCATCACACTCTCTGGGCTCTTATCAGCACTAAGGGGGTGACAGTGCCTGGTGTGAAGCTCTCTAGCAAGACCAGCCCTGCTGAATCAAGGAAGAGTAACTGGCTAAACCCTACTTCCACATAAAGTACATTGGTCTATAAGTGAGAATTTAATGATATCCTGCATCCTGTTCCAGGTATTTATTTCTGTAAAACAGTCCAACAGAGCAGCTTCCTTCATGCTGAGCTATAGGGCACTTAATCTTGAAGGAGCAGATTGGTATAAGTTGAATTTCAGGCTTTTGGGTGTTGTGTCTATGGCCTATATGGACAGAGTCACAGTCATAGTGTGGTTATGCAGACCTACACCCTGCCAAGATGTCCCAAGAGGTGCAAAATGACACCTGGCTGGCAGTAAAGTGTCAGATGCCAAGCACTAGCAGAATGTGGAGACAGAACTAACCCTCCAACCCAGAAACATCATTCCTTCATGCCAAGGCTGAGGCACATTGGAAAGAAATGGTATTGCTGCTGTCACTGTCTGTTTTTAGTGGGTATCAAGCAGCAGTCAAGGGGACTTCAGGCTCCACAGCTGTCTTTTGCCAGTGCCACACTGACTTTAAAAAGCAAACAAACAAAAAAATTAACAGAGTTTATTTTTATCAAAGCAGCAGCAGCAGCAGGGCCACATGAGATGCTTTCCCTAGGTTGAAAATGATTTCTGAGTAGTGGAAAATCTCCAGGCTTCTCTATAAATCATCCAAGCCTCTACATCTCTGTACTATGTTTAGCATAGCCCTAATATCAAAATGGTGTGTACATTTTCCTGAACACTGCTGGCCACCCCCAGGGCAATATTTAAAGACCAGATTTGCCAAAACAAACTGCATCCTTTGTCAAACTAATTTCCTAACATCTTTCTCCCATGAACATCATGTCCCCCAAGTGAAGGATAAAGAATGTGTGTTTGGCTGCTCCATGGCTCTATTCTCAATCAAATACATACACGTATACGTGCTTATTAGTTTTGGGATTAAGAGCTTATACTTTGGTCAGAATCTCAATTTTCTGTTCAAGAGTAGTTCTAGTGCCACTAAAACTTCTGAGGGTACCTCATTCAAATGCAAAATAAGGGTTGATGTGATTTTAGGTGCATAATCAAAACAAGGTCTTGTATCTTCTACAAGAAAATAAATTCTTGCTTACCCCCTTATGTAAGACTGAAATTCTGATATGGAAACATATCAGAATACACAGACAGGCTTTGAAATGGACTACTTTCTCATTTGCAGATTACTGTTCAAATCTCTGATCTGAAGGCATATGTCCTTCTGCTTTCTCAGTCTCTGGCCCAACACACCTTGATTTTAGTTTTTGCAAGGTAATAACTTCACCATGACTGGTGTGTGATTTTGTTCATCCCTTCCCTGGAATGATAAAGACCCAGGTGCTTACAGCACTCTGAAAGGAAGGGGGACAGAAAGAGAGGATCAAATCCCCCTGTGATGAAGAATGAATTGAACTTGTGTGCTGTGTTTCCCAGTAGACAAAAATTTTAAGAGCTAAGCAAAGAGTTGCTGTGTGTCTCCAGGGCTGGCTGTGGCTGTGCTGAGGTGTGCAGTACCCAGCCCCTGTGTGCATGCTGTGCCTAGAAGCATGGAATCCCAGAATATGCTGAGATGGAAGGGACACACCAAGATCATTGAGTCCAGCTCCTGGCCCTGCACAGAACACCCCAGGAATCCTACCCTGTGCCTCAGAGCAGTATTCAAATGCTTCTTGCACTCTGTCAGCCTTGCAGCTGTGATCACTTTCCTGGGGAGCCTGTTCCAGTGCCTGAACACCCTCTGGGTGAAGAAATTTTTCCTGATATGCAACCTAAATCTCCCTGACACAGCTTCATGCTGTTTTCTTGAGTCCTGTCACTGGTCACAGAGAGCAGAGATTGGTAGTTGCCTCTTCACTTCCCATCATGAAGAAACTGCAGAACTTTCCCTTTCCCTTCCCCTGAAGAGAAAGCTGCAGAACTGCTGTGAGGTCTCTCCTTAGTCTCCTCTTCTTCAGGCTGAACAAGGCAGGTGACCTCAACTGTTCCTCATATGGTTTTCCCTCCAGACCCTTCACCATCCTCATGACCTGTTTAAGACAGTCTCTATTAGCTTTAGTGTCTTTTTTCTATGATGCAAAAGCTATGCCAGGATGCACCCACTGCCCTGGCATTTCCAGAGGATGTAGGTGGGTGAATGACTTATTTCTGCACCCTGACTGCAATGGCCTGAGAAAGGCACAGAAGAGATAAGCCTGCCAAGAGGAAAACCATTCCCACGGAGCTCCCTTGGCACCCTCATGACTTGCTCTGCTCTTCATTCCCAGCTACCAGTACAATGCTTAATTATTTTCATCTGTCCTTCCACACACATAAATCTTCATTTGCCATCAGGGTGGCAGATGAAAGTATCCCATGAACTTCTTATGGAACATTTCTGATAAATCCTGCTGGCGTGACTGCACAAAAAAGGAAATGTATTCGTGGAAACCTGGGTTTATGTAACTCACTGTCCTCTGTTTTCTTTCAAGTGTACAGAAGCTGAATGAGTTTCTCCTGAGTGATGAGATTGGAGATGACAGCTGGAGAGGGGGGGACAGCTCTGTACCTTATGAATCCTGTAAGAAGCACACAGGACTTGTAAGTTCTGCTTTATGACACTGAATTTCAAAGCAGAAAGGCCGTATAGCCCCATACCAACCCTATACCAGCCAGTGGCCAAGCTGACAGAGCCTGGGAGGTTTTATTCCTAGCCTGGCTTTAATATTGACCAGTTTTGCCTCTTTTATGTCCCAGTCTCTGTGTTTTTATGATATGAAGGGTTCCCAAACACACCTAAGCATTGCTGAAGTGTCAGTAGTTAAAAAAAAAGCAACCTAAACCAACCATAATACACCAACATATTTAAATATTACTAAAATTCAAGCTTCTTTGTTTATATAGAAGGCCCAGGAGGATATCTTGTGGTTATGGGGTTTGTACTGTCTGTTGCCCATACAATCAATCTGGGCATCCTTAGGGAGGAATAATTCTTGCTTTGGGAAATTCAGAATTAAAGGTAGAAAAGAACAACACCAAACTTTGTGAAATAGGAATTAATTCCAAAATGCTGTTTCTGGAATACTAAACATAGAGTTGATTTGAGTAAAATTTGAAGACAAAAAACTACAATGAAGATGATTTGGGAAAAGGTGTTTTTTCATTTTGACATTTTTCTAAAGCTATATATTTCAACAGATTCAAACTGACAGTACAATTTGAAATGTGACTGAAACTTGAAGACAGAAACAGAAAGCAAGGATTAGCACAAAATAAATTTTATTTTAGCTTGCCAACCTGAAACAACACCTTTCTTGTTTTTCTGGACTAACAATGATAATAAAAGAAACAAAAATGAGATTGTTTCAACTTTTATTTTATTTGTCCTGTCCACCTTTTGTTTAGTCCTACAGAGACTGTAGATGATGGGGAAAGGGTTTGAGAGGGATGGTAGAGACGAAATTTGGGATGGTTATGCATGGGAAGCAAAAAATCCCAATATTTTCTGTGATTCAGATAAGGGTGTTTAAAACATGTAAAATGTGTGCATGATAGCGTTGTATCTGTATTATCACATATTGATCTGTATTATCACATATCACTGGCTGCTTCTTCTGAGCTGGAATGGTGGTAGGAAAGGGAATGGATTGTTTGCTTTACAGGGCACCAAATGCTGTCTTCTCATGAGGATTCCAACTTCTCTCCTGTTTTCACTTCTCTCTGTGCAGCACACCAAGGCCATCAACAGGAGGCAGCCCCTGAGGTATCAGCTCGAGGGCTACGAGCAGCCAGCCAGGAAGCAGACACGGCCCGTGGAGATTGATGATGTGGCCATTAAGGTGGTTTGGAAAATGTTTTCCTTCATGAAAATAGGGAGCAAGTCCTCCTGCAACAGCACCCGATGGTGCCCAAGTGCTGCTGTTACTTCAAATTTTCCATAGCAAGAGCAAGTTTAATAAGTTAGCACTCTAGCAAAATTTACAGTGAGAAAAGTGAGCTTCAGACCAGTTTTTACAGTTATTTAATGTCTTCTCAGGAAACAAAGAGGTATCATGAATCTGATGTCCAAGTCTTTAGTCTCATATTTGACAGAATGAAAGTATTTGGTAAATAGAGCTCAACTCAAGATCATCCCTTTCTTGCCTTACATACATTATGTACATTTGTGTATTTATCTTTTCTTACTCACAATTTTTGGGGGTTTGGCAATCCTTACAAACTTATCTTGCTTTTATCTCTGTGTGTACAACCATACCACACCGTGTTCATTAATCACAGATTTATTTTATGAAGGTATTTTAAATGTAAATTAATAATTCTAATTTTTCCCCTCCTGTGTTTAAATATCTGATTTGTGGTAATTGTTTTGTAGGTGACCAATGGATACTTTTCATGGGGAAGTGGTTTAGCTACACTGTCCAACATAAACATTAGAATTCCAACAGGTAGGATGAAAGCACACCTTAAACATGAACTATATAATGTCAAATTGTTATTTATTCCACTTCTTGAAGTTTTGAAGTGCACAAAGGTACACATTTAGAATTTTATAAGAAAAAAATAGAGTTTAAAGTGTATACAAGGTCATGAGCAGTATTGTTATATAATAATATCATTAGATAAACTTTGTGGCTTTTATATATCTATATAGTTTATATAGTTTTATGATAGCACAAACTAAGTCAAGAGTTAGAATAAATATGAAAAAATGGTTGAAAAAAATATAATTATTATTTTTAATAGAGAAATTGAATAAAAAAGAAAGAGGCAGAACTCCAGACTCATTCAAACCAAGGATACATCTAACTCAGTATTATTTTCAGCAATACTCATATATTATACTTTTCCTGCCATTTATCAACATTACAGTCTTCCAGTTCACAACTATTTTCATTCAGAAGATGGAGTTTTTCTGTCAAGAAATCCTTAATTATTTTGTTTCACAACTAATTCCTCTTTATCAGGCTGAGTTCCTGTAATTCCTTGCATCCTCAATGTCTTTGGCTAGGGATTCCACAGGTTTACAAAATGCTGGTTTGTTTTGGAATACTTGCATAGCAAGTGTGAAAAGCAGCAACTAATTTTTTTTATTATTAATAATAACAACAATAATTTTTTGTTGTTGCTGATAATGCTGTAATATTCATAACACTGTCTTCTGGCATTTCATGTTAATAAATAGTCTTATGCTCTATTTTGATCTCCTATCAAGGGCTTTGTTTTAAAATGGAATATTACTTTAGGTTGCTGTCACATGGTGATTTAGTAATCCCCAAGCCTGTATGATTTGTTTCCATGTAGCATTAAGTGTCACCAGCAGAATGTCTGTGCTCCAGGAGTTTACAGTCTGAGGCCATGGGTTCACAGGCTGGGTGAGCCAGAGTTTGCCTCCTTTGGAAGGAATAAGATCCTTGGCTCCCAACTGGAGAGAAGCTTAACTGGAAAATTTCCAGTATCTAAAGGGGGGGCTACAAGAAAATGGAGAGAGACTATTGACAAGAGCCTGGAGTGACAGGACAAGGGGCAATGGCTTCACACTGCCAGAGAAAAGGTTTAGATTGGATATGAGGAAGGAATTGTTCCCTGTGAGGGTGCTGAGGCCCTGGCACAGGCTGCCCAGAGAAGCTGTGGCTGCCCCATCCCTGGAAGTGTTCCAGGCCAGGCAGGATAGGGCTCTGAGCAAGCTGGGATAGTGGAAGGTGTCCCTGCCCATGGCAGCGGAGTGGAATGAGGTGACCTGTAAGGTGCCTTCCAACCCAAACATTCTGTGAATCTATGAAATGCACTCACCAGCACAATTAGTGAGTTCAGTCAGTGTACAGGAAGATCTGAGAAGAACCATTGTCACTGCAGAGTAGGACTGGAGATAGGAAAGTGTCTCTGTGGGGGTGGAAGGGGAAGTACAGCAAAGCAGAGAAGAGCAATGGGCCTTCTTTCAGTTTATTTACTAGATTGGCCCAAATTAATTTCAGTCAATTTATTAGATTGGTCCAAATTTTCATGAAACTCCAGGCTGAATTATCACTCCCCATCATATATCGTTTGACCCTAAATAACTTTCATAAGTTCCATAAAACAAATGTTAATATAGGTAAGAGCAAAAGTCTCATTGCTTTGGAGATTAGTGTGTTACTGCAGTCCATTAATGTTTCCATAGATGAATATGTGCAATATTGCCCATTAAGTAGTGGATGCTAAAATAATTATTTAATCATTTTGGGTGCTCGACAGCTGAATCTAGCTGGGCTTTGTGAACTAGGGTATAACTGTTTCTTTTTCTTTTTAAAATGTTTTGTTTTTTTTACTATTATCATAGGTCAGATGACAATGATTGTGGGCCAAGTTGGCTGTGGCAAGTCTTCACTTCTCCTTGCTATATTGGGAGAGATGCAGACCCTGGAGGGAAAAGTTCACTGGAGCAAGTATGTTTATATAGCTATTAATTGCTGTATTCATTTAAGGAGGAGGCTGAGATTTGCTGTGAGAAATGTAAACTTCATGCCTCAGAACTGCATGTTGAGTGATTACCATCACCCAGATCCTCTCTGGAATGCATCACCTGCAAACTCAGGAGGCATTTTTCACTGTTTTATCATGTGCAGAGCAGAGTGCCTCAGGAAGGGAGAGAGGCTGGTCTGGTGATTAATATCTAATATATTGGCCTAGCAAATGACCTGGAAAGAAAGCATAGGCTATTCCTTTTATCAAATAGTCTTCAGTACTCACTATAATTGAAGGCAGCATTGTCACATCGTTCCTGTACCCACCAGTGAAAGTGTGGAGCTTCTACAGCCCAGTGGGATCTGTGGGGTGCCAGCCTAAAGGAAAGGATCTATTTCCACTCACAGCTGCAGCTACTGCTGGCAGAAAAAAAAAAAAGAAAAAAAGAAAAATTACATGTGAGCAATGCTTTTCTCCTTCCCTGGTACCCACCCAAGCCTCACCTATGGAACAGTGTCACTCTTCACAGTGATACACTCAAAAACAGCCTGAGCACACCAAACACCTTAAAAGTAAAGGCTGAGCAAAAGCTGTTTCTGAAAGGAGAACTGCCCATGAGGTCAGGCCTGGGATTCAGAACCAGTGAATGAGAACTTCCCACAGAAATGAAGTGGGGCAGCAAGCACTCTTCAAGCCAAGGCAGGGCAGAGACAGTGGAAGTGATGTGCTGTAACCCCAAGACTTGTTCTTTGGTTTTAAAATCAGTTCTGTTTCTTTAAAACTATCGAGCCAACCTCTCAATTATCTTTTTGCTGACAATAGAGGGAATTTTGTCACTGAGACAAATATTGTGTTGCCCCCTCCCTTGACTTGTAACCTCCTTTGTCATACTTTTCTTACAGCAATATTGTAAACTGGAAGTTTTTTGCTTTTCCTGTGATAGTATCCATAGCATTTTTGCTCTCTAGCTATTCTTCACTTTCTGCTATTCTAAACATATGATCTCACTGGAGTAGCAGGTACAGCTGAAGCCAAAGCTACACTAAATTTAGTTTAATTATATATGAATTTAGGCTTTGAAGGAAGAAGAAGATGTGACCTATCCCAGTTAATTTCTTTGAGACATGCAATGAAGGGTTTTATACCATAATCAGGCATTGTTTTTCTCAGTAGTTTAAAAAAAATAAAAGGAAAAAGTAGAATGTACCTTGAAATGATTCTCACAATTGTTTTGAAAGAAGTATTTGAGAAAGACTCAGATTTTTCATAGATAAAGATATGGAACCTTGGAAAGATTAGAAAAATGAGAAATATTGGGAACATAATAGATACAGCTTATGAAATGTTTTGTAATTATGAATTGTGAAAAAAAAATTAAGTTTAATATTGCTCAAAAGATAGAATCATGCTGTCAGTTGATTAACAGTCTGTACATCACCACAACACCAAGAAACTCAGGTTCTAGCCAACACCTCAGACTTTTTTCCTTGCACACTATAATTGTGATATAGCTGATGCAAACATGGTTATATTTTGCTGGTAATTTCAGACTGCCTGGCAGACAGATGAATACAGAAGGAGACTTCAGGTATTTAACTAAGTGGCTCCTGTATTTTGTAAAACCATAATAAAGGTCCTATTTACTCTTTTAAGTCCCTTTCCATGTGATTCTCCATGCATGACTAACGCAGCTACTGATCCAGGGATGAAATGCAGGCTAGGTGAATTCCTTTACAAATTCAGCTGTAACAACACAGTAATTATAAGCATGGATAAGATTGCAGCCCCAGTTGTATTGGGACGATCCTGCAAGGCATCACTGGGATTCAAATGCCCTGTTGCTGTGGAGGCTGACTGCTGTGAGAGCTGTGTGTCCTGCTGCCAGGGTTATCACTGCCTTGGCATCCCAGGGAAATAAAGCATGGCCATGTATCTTTCTGTAAAAGATCTTGGCCAGGGCAAATCTTATGGGCTGGGTCTCAGTTTTTCCCACTTATATGAGACATGGCCCAGAAATGTGACATCCTTAGACATGGAGCTGGGTTTTTGTTTTCCTAGAGAGCAATCAGCTTGAGAATCTTGTTAGACACTGGTGCATGGGGCTGTCTGGGTGTAGTCATTCAGCCAGCCTGTTTCAGATGAGAGTTATTTATTAATAAGTTATTTCTTAATAATTTGTGGGAATCATGCAGAGACAGGTATTCCCTTCATGCACATCAAGCCAAACAATCTTCTCAAACTGCCAAGCCAACAGGGGCTAAGTAGAAACTTTCACTTGCTATGTGTTTTTTTCCTACATTGAAATTTTTTCTGTGCAAACAGCTTGTTGCATACTAAATGAAAAGCTCAGGAAACACAAGAACTGTTAAATAGATCCTCAAAAATGGCCTGTTTTGTCCTCAAGTATTCAGAAGGATGTGACAAATATTAGGAAAAGTCAGTGCTCCCCTCAGAAAGATTGCCAAGAGCAACACTTGCCCAAAGATTACAACCACAGGAGCTCACAGAAAACACTGAAGAGCATAATGAGCACTGGAGGGATAAAAAAATCATCCATACAAAAGTCAGTGGCCAAAACCAGCAGAACTACCAGTTCTGGTTGCAGGCACAAGTCTAAATTTCTCAAAACTCCTCTATGGAATTTGTGTAGATGCTTGGTCCTCACCTTGCCTCAATTTCCTGCCTATATTAGCAGAGGCAATGGTTCATTCTGTGGCTACAGGGGTATCCCAGAGATTTTGTGCATCTTCCTTCTCCTCCCTCATTACTTTGTAGAATGAGGGAATCAGGGCCTGCTCAGACATGCTTTAATCTGTTTTAAAATATTATGAGTTACCATAAAAGTGTCTAAACCACAACGAGGTCTTTTTTACTCTTCCTAACGCCCTTGATTTCGATTGATTTTTTTTTTGGTGTTTTTGTTTGTTTCTTCATCTTATATATTCAAAATCCTATAAAAAAGATTGATTAGTTTGGCCCTTCCTACCATTTCAGACTTGAACTTACCACACCCCATTATGGGCAATATGCATATTTTATAGTACAGCTAAAAATCAGTATAAATAGCCACATTACAATAAATAAATGAACCAGAGGAAATAAATGCTAATCCCCTCAGGCAAATAAAATACCCTTTTTAGAAATCTCAGGAGCTTCAATTTCAGCCCACTCCCATGCCCTACAATCACATCACTCTCAGATTCAGCACAGTAATAAAGTATAAAACCAAATACTTAATCCCCTTGTTTGTGAGTGTCCCAGCTCCCTAAAGGTCTTCTCTGTGTTTATTCATGGGATTATTGGTAAATGTGGGTTCTCACAGAAATCTCATTCATAATTTGGGAGAATCAAAGTCTATTTGTCAAGCTAAGCTGGGAATGAAATTTCTAACCAAGGAAAAAGGGTTTAAGAAACAGAGCTCCTAAAATTAGTCCTTACCCGTTGAGAAAGTCTGTTTGGTTATCATGGCAAGCAGATGAAATCTGGCATGGAATTGCAAGGAGTCTTGCAAGGCTTGTGCCCAGTTTTTGTTGACTTGTAGTTCAGAAGGTGCCCCCAAACTTATACCTGAAAGCATTTTCTCTTTATCACTGCAGTGCTCTCCTAATAAAAGTTTGGAGTCTTGAACAGAGCAAGTTTAGGGTTTCTTCTTCTTGTTTGCCTTCACCTAATTTCCAGTCCCTTTTCAATCTCTTCTTAGATTTCATCTTTTGCTTTCTTGTGACTTTTTTTCCATTGTAAAGAAGACAGGAAGCTTCTGCTAAATGAGAGACCAAGTTTTAGTGAGGGACTGTCTGTTTTGAGCCTCAGTGTGTGGCTCTCTGACACTTCTGAGACTTATGTCTCAGGTGCTCTGATGCAGCACCTTCTCTGGCAATTGGTGTATGAAGAAAACACAGACTGTGCATTTTAGGAAGCCTGAATTATCCAAGTCCTCAGAAAGCTGATGTGCAGCACAGAAAACAACATCTCAGTTCTGGCATTTTGGGAAGATGCTTAATCCATGAGTCTGGCATTCCAAGGACTCTGCTTGCTATTAGAATTTTTATGCTCTTTCTAGACTTGGATAGCCTGCTAATGATTGCAGCTGCATTTACTGGTATCCCAACAGTCAAGCAGTCATTTCTGTCTCAACAAAAAAGTGTTTCATCTGGAGTGTTCATAGGCCTGAGAGAAGGGGATTTGTTTGTTCATGGCTTTTTTTTTTTAAAGTCAGGAAAATAATGTTTTAGCATGAGTTTTCTACCCCCTTCCAATGCCTGTTTCTATTTACCTGGTATAATCTCTTTTAGGTTTTGCACTTTGCAGTGATGCATCCCCATGCCTGGAATGAGCATCATTGCTGGTCCAAAACCACTTTCCCTGCCATTCCGGGCTCTTGGCACTGTTAAAAAGTCAACAAAAAGAGGGAACTGAAAAATCATTAGTGTCATTGCTAATATTTGAATGTTCTTCAGAATCTATTTCTTAAGAATATGATCCTTAAGAAGTGGAGGATGACTAGGAAAACCTACATGTTGTAGGGCTGTGCACAGCTTTATGCAGCCTTAGTGCTACAAAGAGATTCAAAATCTGTTCTGATTCTACAGTGTAGCTGCAAAGCTCATCTTTACTCCAGGGGAAATTTGACATCAGTTATCAACTTCTGCAGGCCACTGACAGAACTGTGTGGAGAAGCTAACTTATTGCTTGCCATGCAATATTAATATTTTAATTGTTAATAGGTTTTATGATACAATTTTAATTTTAAATACATTTTCTAACAACATAATTTGCCTATTTATCCACTATGCCTTGTAGATACGAAACTGTCACATTTCAAGAAGTATTATGGTTTTGCTTACACCTTGTTTTCCCTTCAAGAACATAAAAACCCAGACTTATGTTGAGTTCTTAAAGTATGTCATTAACTCCAGGTTCACTGTGTGTAAAACTAGCACAAAATGTTATTCTTTATATTTCCTGCTTACTAAATGTCATTTACCATAACTTACAGTGTAAATGAAACTGAACCTTCTTTTGAAGCATCCAGAAGGTATTATTTCTTTTCTAGTGTATCACAAAACAATCATTAATTTCTTCAGAATTTCCCCAAATCCTCGTCTTTGTGCTCTTAAGCCATCTCCATGTTTCCTTACCATGTTGATAATTGTTTCCTGTGGGATTAATTGATAGACTGTGCAAATCCAGTGGATCCCACACTTCTCCAGCCAGTGAACCACTACCTCTGTCTCTTTGTCTGAAAGATGCTCAGCTCCCATCTGACCACAGTGGGAGTTCAGTGTGCTCCTTGCTATGCAAGGCAGAATCTCTAGGTATGAGGCATCATTAGGTGTCCCCTCCCACATGTTCTTGAGTATTCTGTCCAGCACTGTGTTCCCCATGGTGCCTAACCTGGGATGGGATGGAGCAGGGCACAGAGGGAGCTAGATCAGCTCCAGCTGAAGCCAAGCAGGGACTCTACCCCTGGCTCCAGGTTTAAAAGAAGGACAAGCTCCACTAAAAGTATGTCGTAAATGAGAGAGAAGTAGTGGCACACAGAGCTGTGGTTGGGAGCCACACCATGATTTGCTGCCCCATAATCTTGAGGATGTATTTCATACGAGTGCATATGAATGGCTAAAACTCCTGGAAGTTTTGGGATATTGCTGACAGCTTCTAACCAGCTGTTTCTCCTGCCTTAGCACCCCTCTCTCAATAGGAAATCCTACATGCTTGCAAATGAAGCTAAGCAAATGTTTTGGTGGAAGCAATACCATCAAAGAGACAAAGCAAAGGAACCTCATTGTGGCCGTCCAGAACCAGCATGGAGCCTAAAGAAAAGATGGAGAGAGACTCTTTACAAGGGCCTGGAGTGACAGGACAAGGGGAATAGCTTCACACTGACAGAGAGCAGATTTAGATTGGATATTAGAAAAAAATTCTTTATTGTATGTGTAGTAAGGCCCTAGCATAGACTGCTCAGAAGCTGTGGCTGCCCATCCCCGGAAACTGGCTGCCCCATCCCTGGAAGCATTCAAGGCCAGGTTGGATGGAGCTCTGAGCAAGCTGGGCTAGTGGAAGATGTCTCAGCCCATGGAAGGGGTTGGAACAAGATGATCTTTAAGGTCCCTTCCAATGCAGGCCATTCCATGATTCTATAGGTGTTCAGATCCATGAGCTGGTACCAGTTCACATCTCCTTCCTCACATCACCTTGGGCAGCTCAGAAAAATTTCTGAAAGTACCTGACCATTTTTGCTACTGTACCTTGGAAAAACAGACAGAAGTAAAGAACATTCATGCCCCTATAGACAAATGTCAATAGGCATTTAGACACATTTAAGGTACGTCTAATAAATCCTTGGGAGGCTACCCCTGATTTCTTCCCAATCTGGATTAAAACTGCCCTCTTTTCCAATATCATTGAGGATCTAATAAACTGAAAGGGAAAAAAGTATTCACTGAGAAAAAAGTATTTATATGTTTGGCCACATAAAATAATCTCACACTTCAGAAAGCAGCAAGTGTGCCAATGACATTTGAACAGTGCCTTTTCTCTTTGTGTTTTCATGTTAGAGAAAATAATGCCAAATAACTATTCCTGTGAGAATTTAATATTTCTAGTATAATTTATAATTTGCTTTTGTATTTGAATTGCAATTACTAGATTGAGGTAGGTACCAGCTTTTTATAGTAGAATAAAGTGCAACCCAGAGTGTAGATTTTGCCATCAGGGGAGAGAGTGGGTGCTGTTCTAACAAAAGCATTGAATTTAAAATTCTTCCCTTCTTTTTGTTTTGCTAATGCATTTCCCTGTGTTTTTCTGAATGCACATTCATGAAATTAACTTTAAAAAACCTGATTATCAGACATTTTATAGGGTGAGAGCTTTGTTTATTACTAAAACTCTGTGTCTGTCTGCAGTAGGAACAGGTACTCCGTGGCTTACGCAGCTCAGAAGCCATGGCTGCTCAATGCCACCGTGGAGGAGAACATCATCTTTGGCAGCCCCTTTAATAAGCAGAGGTAAATATCCACCTCCTTGCAAAAACACCTGGCAGCTCCATTTAAACAGGCTTTTTGGCATCTTCTGGAGGATGTTTGTAGATTCTGGAAAATATCAATCAGTGAATGCTAAACCTGTGGTGCATTTAGCTGACCTGACTCCAAGGAAGGTTTCTGGTTTAAGCCAGGATGCTCCTCTAACCAGAGCACATGTCGAAGATGTTTGTGAGAAATCCCACAGTGGCAGTGGCTCTCCATAGAATATAGCCGAAGCCATATGTGTCATTTCCAAGGTGAGATAAATCCCATCTCTGGAGACTACTTATGCAATTTTCTTTTGTTTAATGGAGCCCAAGGTTGCCAAAGGACTCTGAAAACAGGGATTCTAGGCATGTTTCCACTGAGTTTATGTGCTAATCTTGCTGTGATCAAGTTACTGGAGCAGCCACTTTCCAAAAACAGCATTTATGAAGATGTGGTGCCTCCAGGGAATGGCCTTAATTCTTCCTTTAGAAATACAGGAGAAGGAAGTGTGAAAGCTGAGGAGCTGTGTGTGAAAGCTGAGGAGCACAGCTTCTATTGTGCCTACCCAGCACCTGCTTCTTCCAGCCTTTTAAAAGGTCAATTAAGAAATGTGGAAAAAGTGACTGGACTTAAGGAAAACAAATTGCTGATGTTTTCAAAGGCAACACTCGCTCTGTTTTCAGTTACTGAAAATACACCCAGTTGCTCTCAGTCTGTGCTGTGTTAAGATGTATGACTCCATTCTGGCTTGATAAAACCTAACCATGACCAAATGCATCGAAATCCAGAAAAGCACCAAAATTTCAGGGATCAGATTCTTCAGCCACTGCATCCATCAGCTTGTTTCACTAGCTTCAAAGGGGCAAGGCTGAATTTCAGCACTCATATAGTCTGATCCCAGCTGCTCATCAGCAGATCACCTGCTACAGACCCAGAAATCTCACCAAAAAAATTTCAAAATTTTGCAAGTGGTTTGCTAGTTCTGGTAAGACCAGAAGCACTGTAAGGATCCTTTGTCCTGTAACATCACTCCAAAGAAAATGAAGAGGCACTTAAAGGGGGAGAATAAAAACTCAATGGAAAATATCTTCAAACACTCTGGAGTCCAACCAAACAACTCCATGATAGGGAGGAATGTATTCAATAATTTACATAATTAAAAAGCAGTCTTGCCAATAAAGGCTTCTAATAAAGATGTAATTTTTTTACAATGCTTCATTTACTCTAGGATGCTCTAGGATTATTTCTCAATAGTCATTTTGCCCTACTTATTTTTACAATTACCCAGCCATCACAGAGCAATAAAAACTTTGTGGTGACATCTACCTGGAGGTTTTTGTGTTAGCAGAGTGAGTGGCTGGGTAAACAATTGCAATGACCACGTTGTTTTTCCAGGTACAAAGCTGTTACAGATGCCTGTTCTCTGCAGCCTGATATTGACTTACTGCCATTTGGTGACCAGACAGAAATTGGAGAAAGGGTAAATAGTGTGAATGCTTTAATCTCTGCTTGGCCTTTATATTAAGAAGACACTCCCTTACGTTACTCAGACAGTTCTAGTCTGTATTGGGCTGCCAAACAGGTAAATAATTGTAATTCACCAAGGGTTACTACCCAAAAATTTGAAGTCTCTTCAGTTTCTTCAGCTATTTCTCAAATGGGATGTCTTGACCAAAGTCTCCCATATTTTGCTTGCAGAATTTGATGCTGGTATTGATTACATTTTCAATCTAAAAAGCCTACTGTGCTCAGAGCAGCTCTTCATAATTTACACTTGCCCATGAATAATAACTTTTCTTCTGATATTATATGAGGACTATTCTTGTTTATCAATAGAATCAGCATTTTAATGAAGTTTTTTATTTACTATAAACTCTATAATTGTAAAAAATCACATTTCCAGGCCTGTTATAATGTTTATTCAAAGATGCCTATTTCTGATCCATTTGAATAATTAGGGGATTAATTTAAGTGGAGGCCAACGACAGAGAATCTGTGTAGCTCGAGCACTCTACCAGAACACCAACATTGTCTTCTTGGTAAGATTTTTCTTTTTCACATGGAGTATGCAAAGTTAGTAATAAAACTGTAATTCCATATATTTAGTTTATATTTAGAAGACCTTTGGGGGCCTGTATTCAACTCTAAAACCAAACTATAGAGAGGCAGCATCAAAACATCCTGGGAGACTGATGAAGGTGGGAATTTCTGCACAGATTTACACTGGAAGAGTGGAACAGATTGTCTTAACTCCTTGCTTTCAGTGGTGACCTCTATCAGCACAGTCCCAGAGAAATCAGCAGGATTGCTGATAAGGAGCCATAATGAACAGTCTGAGGGCTCAGCACCCTCCTGCAGAGTCCTGTGGAGTTGGACAGCCTTTCCCTTCTCTGATAATACTTTCAAGGCATATTAGGAATTTCAGGAGGTTCATGAAGAGGCTGTTTGAGCCTTTTCAAAATTAAGGAGAGACTTCTTGAAGAAAAAGTGTTTACATATTGACATCCTCCTTATCTGAATGTTGCCTTATTTCCAGCCACACTCACTGACTGTAAAGACCAAGCACATCTGTAGTTTAGTTTGGACGAAATGAGAAGAGTTGCTAACTCTGCTTTAATTTTCCTGTGCCAGTTTCACACCAAAATTGGGCCCAAGTTTGGCTTTAGATCCGGGCATTTTCAAATTTGGATGGGAAATTTCAGTTCTGGTGTTCCTGCACTCTGTCAGTGAGGCACCAGCACTACACACACTACACACCAGACACAAGAAATGAAACTGAGTCCATTGCTGTGAACTGAAGAGCAGTGGATTCCAGCTCACTGGAGCACAGCCCTCTGACTGGGCCCTAGTCACTAGAGAGAGATGGTGCTTCCTATTTTAAAAATACTATTTCAGGAGTACACCTCACTTTTTTATCCTGTTCTAATATTTTTCTATTTGATATGGTTGCAGGATGACCCATTCTCTGCACTGGACATTCACTTAAGTGATCACTTAATGCAGGAAGGGATTTTGAAGTTTCTGCAAGAAGACAAGAGGACTCTTGTTCTGGTGACACATAAATTACAATATCTGCCACATGCTGACTGGGTAAGAGAAGAGGTACCAGGGGAAAATTTGCTAAGGATGATTGCCAGAAGCAGGCATCAGGATGTTATTGAAAAATTGAAAAATTCCCAGCAGAGTTGAAGTTTTATTCAGAGGCTTGCTACTCTAAGCAGTCTCGACAATTCCTGAAGTTAACACCATAACATTTAATAGGATTATTGCTTTTCTCTGCAATAGAGTCCCTTCTTAATTCTGTATGCCATGTGGCTAACTGCCACTTCAGCTAACACAGATTTTATAGTGGAAGAACTATTTTATTTTTACATTATTTAAGTAGAGGTTTTTTTGTTCATTAAAAGGCCTGGAGAATTTGTTTTAATTGTAACTGTCTATTCCTTCTTTTCAATGCTTTTTCCTGTCTGATGTGCAGGAAAGCATGACTTATACAAGTTTCAGTTTATGAGCTGTGCCAGCAAATTTAAGAAGTTATCAATAAAATATTGAATAAAATGAAGACAGAAATTTGCATAATGGTATTGTCACTAATGGTGGGACATATCTTGTAGGACCTAGGTCAGTGATTATGGTATCTGTGTTGTTGAGCGCTGGGTGCTTTCTCCCCTAGATCATAGCAATGAAGGATGGAATGGTGCTTAGAGAAGGGACACTAAAGGATATCCAAAACAAGGATGTTGAGCTATATGAACACTGGAAAACTCTGATGAATCGCCAAGATCAAGAGTTGGAAAAGGTAAGTAGAGCATTTAGGCAAGGATGACTTTTCCGCAAAGAAATATTTGTCATTCAATTTCAAAGAAACCCAAACCATGTCCAAAGCACATTTTCAACTTGACTTTAGGGCAAAACCACATGACCTGTAAGGAGTTTTAGGGGCTGGAATAGATTGTCCAGGAAGCATGTGTTATATCCATCATGGATGGTTTGTAAGCACATCTTAGCCAAGAAACCCTTGGAAATGTGGTGCACAACTGATCCTTTGGTGGGGCAGGGGTAGGACCCAGAAACTTCCTATGGTATCTCTTATCCTTTTATTCTGTTATTGCCATGAACATTTAGGATTCTCTAAAGACTATTTTTGAAGTTTTTTTCATTCCAGAAGAGAGAGAATGAAAGAATGGCAGAGAGAGGGAAAGAAGTGGGCAAAGTTGAATTCTCTGAAATTTAAATCGAAAAATACTGTGTTTTTTCCATTCTGTAAGTTAAATGATCCATATAAAGTCTCTTTGAGATTACTGTAACTACTACTACAATTGTTGAACAGCTAAGCTCTCAAATTAATAAATGATCTTTCAAATGAATTAAATCTATTATTAATAAATAATAATAATAATAATGATTATAACCTAATTATTCCAGGATATGGAAGCTGACCAGACAACTCTTGAGAGAAAAACCCTTAGAAGGGCCATGTACCCCAGAGAATCCAAGTCACAACTGGAAGATGAAGATGAAGGTTTGTTTTACAATTTCACTTTATTTAACACCATTTTTCATTGCCTTTCCACTTTAATAGCTGGCAGTTCTTAGCAGCAAAGTGTAACTCTATTGATGACACTTCGTAATAATAGTGGAAAGTCCAACATTTTGACCTGTTTACAATAGGACTCGTTCAAGGGATTCTCCATATAGTTCCCTAAACATCATGCAGAGATAAGGATGTGTCAAAACAAGTTAATGTCTTTGCTAACTCACAGTGCCTGGAGTTATTGTGGGATGAGACAGAAGTACAACAACATCAGAAATTGTAAAGGAAAAAAATGTGGTAGCTGTCAAGAGCATGTGAACATTTCCTGTCCTTGGGGAAATTTCCCTCCTGCAGGGCTGTGAGATATATATTCTTATTATCTGTGATAAAAAAAAAAATTAAATTTCCTGCTTATACATCTCTGAAATATTTTTTTTTCCACAGCAGAAGTTTTCCACCATTTGTGTTTCAATAGCACGTGATCAATTATCATTTTAGTACTATTGACTGAAGGGAAAATGGAAGTTGTTCATGCAAACAGATGATGAAGAGTCTGGATGTAAAAGTTTGGAGGCTTTTCTAAAATCTTCCAAATTGCTCTTCTGACTGTATAATAAAAGCTGATGAACAGGTTGGGAAAGGCCTGGTCTCTGCTCCAAATAATAAGTAGTAAAGACTTGGTTTATAAAAACTTTTTCTTAACAAAACTGTGACAAGTCAAAGACTGGCAAACTATAGAATAGCTAAAGATCACAGGGGAAGTCTTATGAAAATATGTCTGAAGTGTTTACTGTTCTTAAATGACAAATTGAATTTTGACTTTAAAATTTAAATTCAAAGCAGAAGAAAAAATGCCCAACAAATCCAGTAAAACAAGGTATAGTTATTATTGAATCCATGCTAACTTGATCAAATGTCTGAGTCACAGAGGAGGAAGAGGAAGAAGATGAAGATGATAACATGTCAACTGTCTTGAGGCTCAGGACAAAGATGCCATGGAAAACCTGTTGGAGATATCTAACCTCTGGAGGATTTTTCTTGCTCTTTCTGATGATTTTCTCCAAGCTGTTGAAACATTCAGTTATTGTGGCCATAGATTACTGGCTTGCCACATGGACATCCATGGACAATGCAAACGAAGCCAGGAATGCTGATGAGGATAAGAGCAAAGAGAAGGTGAGCCAGATATTGGAGCCTGACAGGGAAAAAACTGAAAAAAACCCATGTTCTAAAGTAATTTTTTGCTTTTCATCTAGAAGCCAGCTGGATTGAAATCACAGGTAGATTATTACACAGGATGAATGGATTCTTAATGTTAAAATAAGGCAATTCAAATTTTATCAATAATTTTGACAATTCAGAACTCAAACAGAATAATATTTGAGGGTAGAAAAATAACTGACCTTTCAAAGTAAGGAGCCTTATACTAAACTTTTCCATCTGGACTTTACAACTGGTCTTCTAAGTCAATGACCCCACTTTCCTAAGTAGGAAGGAAGTCTTCAATTATTCTGCTAAAGTACAATCTGCTTATAGCCGTAAATTTGACTCAAGTACAATATCTCATGGAATCCACTTACTAGACTTTCAGAAGGTTTAAATGTGCTATAACCCAGGCAGATCAGTTTAGGATTTACCCTGTGAATTTCATAATGCTTGAACTTACTAAAGTGGAACTTTCCAACATCTCTCAAATGCCTTAATTCTTGAGAGGTTCTACTCGGTTTCCCTGTTTCTTGGCTAACAATCCTTTCTTTTTGTCCACATAATCAGTCTTCACAGCTCTAAGAGCTACCATTTCAAGATCTTGAGGGGTAGAATAGAGTGAGGGATCTTAGACCTGCCAGAACTTCTAATTATGTGGACTTAGTGAATTGCAGTTCCATCACTGCAGTTCCATCATATTTCTTTTGTTTCCCAAAGATGATATATAATTATGTAATACAAGAGATAGGATATAGTAGCTGATGGGCACCAGGTACCTTGGGAACTTCCTAGCAGAAAAGAAAAATGGGTGTATATTTCTAGGATTGATGTATTTGTCATTCCATTAGACATATCATGTAGCTGTCTTCAGCATCCTCTCTGGAGCTGGGATTGTCCTTTGCCTCATCACATCCCTGACTGTGGAGTGGATGGGCCTCACAGCAGCCAAGAACCTGCACCACAATCTCCTCAACAAGATCATCCTTGGACCAATCAGGTACAGGAAAAATGATGTCCCTGGAAAGCCACGTGGTCAAAACCTGTCCTCTTTGTAGCTGCAAGGGTACCCCCAGGAAAAGCTCTTGAATTTGACCTGTTTCCTTCAAGGCCTCAGAAAGGGAAAATAATTAGTGAGATAACCATGCCAGAGGGGGAAACATTCCATGAGAGAACATGTGAAATTTTGCCCCTGTTTTTTATCTGGCTGAAATGTTTCAGAAAGCTGGCACCCCTTCAGGGCTGGGGCTCAAGGACAGCTCTGAGGGCAATTCAGGCTCCAGGACACCCAGCTCCAGCTCTGAGCAATGGCCATGGTGTCAAACCATGTGGGCACCAAGGCTTCTTCTGTGCACAATACCCAGGGTCTCACAGGCAGCAGAATGGCCAAAGGATCCCTGAATAACAAATAAATTTATCACAGTGCTTCCATGAAACATCTGGGGTCAGTGCCCATAAGAAGGAGGCTGAGCAGCAGCCAAGAACAGGCTGTGATCTTTGGAAGAGATCTTAAATCCTGATGGAGCAAGAAGGAAAGATCAGGACACAAGACAGCAGGTTTGTGGAAGAGGAGACAATTTTTTTTTCAGGGGAAAGTGCCAAAAGAAGCATTTAGACAGTCAAGATGCAGATAAGATGATCTGGCATGTTATTCATATCTATTGCTTTGTTTTAGACAATGGCTGTACACAGCTCTGTGTTCTGTCTGACTGGACTTTAAATCCAAACCTGGAATTCCTCTACAGGTTACTTTTTGGTTTTAATTTGTCCAACAGGTTCTTCGACATGACTCCGCTGGGGCTAATTCTGAATCGCTTCTCTGCTGATACAAATATCATTGATCAGGTAGATGGAGCAATACATTCTATTATCCTGACTCTGCAAATTTTCGTGTAGATCTGAATGAGATGATGTACTAAAATATTCAGTAGAAAAAGGCATAGCAAAACCAGGCTCTGGGAATGATAATAGGGACACTCAAAAAGTACACACATTTGTAGTAATGAGGGCAAGTAACCTTTAAAATAAACATAGTGGGAGGTGGTGGCTCTTAATTTCTTCATATGCAGAGTGGTTCATTCTGTTGGAAGATCTGGACTAAGGAAACATCAGATTTTGGACTCGAAACAGGAAACACAGTAAAATATAAGAACTTTGAATATATGGGAGTAGGTGTGAAAAATAAATGTTCCACCATGGCTGGCAGAACTTGTGGATTTAAAGCATCCAGGGAGAGGAAGAGCTTTCACTATGACTGTGCATTAAAATTTTTGGATGAACAATAATCCTGAATGTAAGGTTGATGGGAATATGGAATAAAAATTATGAGACTCTGAGACAGAGCATTCTACTTTAAATATCTGGCATATCAAGAACAATTTTCTCTTCCTTGCCTGATATATAAATGAGGTGGAAATGGCTCCTATTTCCCCATGATCTTTAAAACTCTTACCTTTGGAAAACAAAAACCTACTGACTCATTTTTTAACTCCTGTACATTTGGCTATGAGACCCATAGAAACAGAAAGACTCTTGATATTAGGAGAACATCAATGAGTATCTAGTGGTATTATTTCACTTTTCTGATAGGAAAAGGTGTATAGTGGTGCTACCAGGATTGTTTTCTTCATGGATGTTTTTCACTTCCCTCTAGCACATCCCTCCCACACTGGAGTCTCTGACCAGATCCACCTTGCTGTGCCTGTCAGCCATTGGGATGATCTCCTATGCCACTCCATGGTTCCTTGTGGCCCTTGTGCCCCTGGGCATAGCATTTTATTTCATCCAGAAATACTTCAGGGTTGCTTCCAAGTATGTATTAAAGAACTGTCCTGAAAGTCTCCTCCATGAAATATTGTACATAAGAACTGTGATGGAATGTGAGCTTGTAGAAACTAAAAAAGGGGAAAATGACCCTGGCATCCTGCTTTTGATTCTGATGCACGAGTTTGAGACATGCACTGGGGAATATTTCTAACTGACCTGGCTATAAATGGAGTATTTGGGGAAGTAACACCAACTGAATGCATTTTTTTAGCTCTAGAGTGAGATGAACATGAAGTTTGTTAATCAGCTGAGTTTGCATCTGGTCAAAACTCCTCCTTGACATTTGAGCATTAGTAGAGAACAGAAAATAATTCTCTGGATTAACATCAATCATGGTTTTTCCTTCATATTGGGGGAAAAAATCTTCACAGAAAGTAATTTCCACTGTAGAGTGTTCCATATTCAGGGTGGCTTGGTTGGGTGTAAACAGTGCAGTTTTTTCAGCAAAATGAGAATCATGCTTCTGGTGCTAAATTTATTCTATAATTTCATAATACATCTTCAGGAAGCCAGTTTTTTCTTAAATTCAATCCCTTAGTCTTTTGTTATCAGACAGAATCTTCCAAGATTTATTTAGTAGAAAACTCTGTAATCAGAATTCACAAAGCAGAAATGTTTAAATCTGAAATAAGTTGCCTAATTTCTGTGAGATTTTTCAGAAACCTTGTTCTTGCCCCACCAAACCTCCAAAATGAAGATGTGTGTGGCAGTACACCAGATCTTAAGGTGGCTGACAAATCAGGAGACCTGGTTCTCACTCTCAAATTATTCTGTTAAATTAAACTCTTTTATATCACTTGAGATGTGACTCGTGTTCTTTTGATGGACAATAGAAATGAAAACATCCAATTTATTTCCCTAAAAGTTAGTCTTGGGAAATGTAGGATGAAGGAATAGCTTCAGCCAGTATTTGTAACTCACTTGCATGCAGTCCTTTGCAGGCATATAAGCCTCAATAATTTTTAGAAATGCAAATATTTACAATATTTCTTGCAGCACTTTGACTCTTTGTTGTATTTTCCATTACATCTTTCAAAATCTTCTATGTATTTTCCATCATAAATTTGAAAGATATTTATCATCAAAACACCAGCAGCAAATTCAGTTTTGCACACTGCAACATTCAGCAACATCAAGCAGTTGCTTCTCCTAGCCTATCTAATACATTGGGCAAAATTTGTAGGCTTTTGATAACAAGTTTTAATCTCTAATGAGCTGGACTTTCTTCTGTTTGTACAACTGGCTGCTATGCCAATGGCAGAATGTTACAGAAAGATGTATTTTTTTTTCTGTGGTTTGGAAAATGTTCCTCTTTTAAAAGACTGGAACTTTTTGGACTTAAATATTGTTGCTCCATGCAGGTCTTGGAAGTGTCATTGCTGAGTAATTAGGGAAATTTATCACTCATATTATTTCTCTGTCAGTGCTGTCTCTGCTACAACCAATGTTAACAGCACAAAGAGATGATCTGCTATCATCTGAAATATTTTACTTTCAGCATGTGGTACTTCCAGATATGGAAAATGAGGGCAGGTTTATGTGGAAATACAGCTTTTTTGTTAGGCCAGCTGTTGTCATAAAATATATAAACTTCCTGATACACAGACCCTATTACATACCTGATCTAAGATTCACAAATAACATGCTACAAAATTTAAAATCAATGGTTTTGACTTTAATTTAATTTAATTAATATATCAGAATCTGTGAGAATAAAATGTAATGAGGATCTGTCTAAAATGGATAGCACGTTTTTATCCAGGAGAGACATGATAATGTCATTATCCCTGGGGGGCAAATAGAAGCTTAAAGTGACCAAAAGTAAATGGAGAGGGCAGCAGGGAGATGATTCAAAGGCTCCTGTGGCAAAAAAAAAAAAAAAAAAGGAATGTTATATTCCCATGCCAGTGTCTTTCTGTACTATAGAAATTTTGTGTGATCCTGAAAAGAATATGTGCAATACAGAAAATGTCTGTTCTTGTCTTCTGTGCAGCAAAATTTCTACAGACAGAAATGTTTGCATTGTAATGGGCATCTGTTGTTTTTTGTACTCCCAGGGACCTCCAGGAACTTGATGACAGCACCCAGCTCCCTCTGCTGTGTCATTTCTCTGAGACAGCTGAAGGCCTTACCACCATCAGAGCATTTGGGTAAAATTTGTAAAACAAATTATTAGAGGGAGGCCTGAGGGTCAGGCTAGCCTGTTCAGCTTCCTTGGAGTATGTCTGAGGGCAAACTGTTGAATTTGAAGAACTTTATTAAGCTATTTAGAAAAAAGATAATGCTTTTTATTTTGTGTGTGTTGCTTTGCCTCTTAAACATTTTGCATATTTTCAGTAACACGTGTAGTGGTGTTCCACTGAATTAAAGATTATTATATTTTTAGGATATGATATTTAAATTTTTAATGAATCTATTTTAACATGCCTTTAACTTGAACAGCAGGGAGCTCTGTTTTGCCAGGCAGGCAGAGGCACTGCCCCTTCAAACCCCCTGCTATATCCAAGTGTCCCTGAATCTGTTCTGTGTTTAACCCACTACCCAAGCAAGGAGTATTATGGCGCTCATATGGTGCTCTCCAGCTGCAAGGCAGTGTGCAGCTTGAGAGAGTTTCCAAGAAAACTGCAGCAGAACAGAATTTGGTTTTAATATTGTAAAACCTTCCTTTGTTAATCAAAACTGAGAAATCAATTCTGTAAGATCCAGAGAGTTTTGCCAGCTTTCCATGCATACATTTTCTCTCTTCTACCTGAAATATAGGCCAAACTCTCCTATGTTCACTCCGTTGTAGGAATGACTGTCAAAGTGCCAGACTGAGGTTTTTTTCCCAGTAAGTGCACCCTGTACCCATTCTGCACTATGCAGAATTCCAAACCAGAGCAGATCCCACTGCAATGACATTTCCACACCTATTTAATCAGCTTCAGGCTGTTTCCTCACATCAAGCTAAGCTTTCAAACCTCAGCTGTTAGCACAGAGTGTTGCAGTAAGGCCTGTGGAAGAACAAGCAAAACCACTGTTATGTTGTAGAGCTGTGAGCCAGTGGTCAACAGGAAATGCTTTAATTAGCTTTATCAACAGAATGATGTATTGAAACAGGAAGTCATCATCAGGGCCTGATGCTGATGTATGCTGAGTACTTCTCAAGAGGTTCAGAGTGGCCTTTCATCACCTGAGGAAGGTTATGAACCTGAGGTTATCTCCTGAGGAAGCTGAAGGAGCTTAGCACTTTCTGAGTGGTTAAACTCTTTTTTTGCCGCACAAAAAGGTAATGTGGGCTTGGATGGCAGAGAGCAAAAGGCACCCGAGGGCACCACAACAATTGAGTTTTTCAGGATTGCTGGCGCTAATCAAAGCCATTTCATTTCCCTGCCTGTGCTCCGCTGCCCACCAAACCTGAAGTCTCCTGCATTTATTGTCTGCAAGTTTCTTTTTATTGCTGGTGCTGTTACTCATTCTCTGCAGTTTGGGTTCAGTATGTTCCAGGATAAAACTGAGCAGCTCCTCACATAACTTACCACAAAGCAGTGCAGTTGGATCAGAGAGCAATCTCAGTGACCTTTGCTGTTCGTCATCTGACAGGATAAAAGTCTGAAAGTGCCCAGAAGATGAGCTGAACGTGGATGAAAGCACAGATTGAGCATGTCAGATTTTCCATTAGGAGAGCAGGAGTTTTGCTGCCAGGGAAGCAGATGAGCAGAGTAGTCAGTGCATCCTTGTTCCTCCCCACATCGCATCGTAACTGTTACCAGTTGTTCTGGGGAGGTTGCTTGTCCTGTTTACAAGCTGTGCATAGGGAAATAAAATATCAGCAGTAAATAGCAGGAAAAAAAGGAATTTTCTGGAAGAACAGACATTAGAGGTGCCCTGAGACTTTGAAATGGAAGATAAAACACACACTGAGCTGCTGACTGAAGTTCAGCTGGTTTAATCAAGTGAGGGTATTCACCAGACTATTCACTGACTATGATTTCAAACAAAATGGTTTCCATCTGACTGTGCAAGGCACCATGAATTTAATACACTAGCACCAATAGAGATTTCTCCCTGCCCTCCCAAATGTACCTCGGCTCTTCAGTGCTCTGGCATCCTTGCACTGTTTTTTAAATGTGATGGGCATTGTGTGGGGGAGAGAGGAACAAGTGGCAGTGGAGGTAACACCACTCATTTTTCTAATTTAGAGGTGATCTATAGCTCTCTCTGATTGTACTTTCCCAGTTGTTAAGGCAAAGTGTGACTGGCTGAGAAAACAGCTGAGCTGAGTAGCTGAAAGGCCTGATTTACAGATCAGTCTACATCCATATTAGTTGAAACTTTAGGGATGTCACCCCTGTTGAAGAGCCATGCAGCTGGCCAGGTAACTTCTGAAATCAGACTTAAGCCGACAGGTGAGCCCTCTGCCCTTGCGAGTGGCCTGTGAGGAGGAGCTGAGGGGCCACAGCAGCACTCACCTGAGGGAGGAGTGGACTACAATCCACAGCTATAAAAGGTGGATCAGCTCTAGGAAACAAAACCTGTCCCAGCACCCCGGCATTGCAATTTCTTTGAGGGGACAGTCTCTGGTCCAAACCCTAGTCCAACAGAATCCCTTGTCAAACAAATCCCAACTCCACATGTCGCTCTGGCTCTGGGGAGCTGTGGCAGCAGATGTGCGTTCTTAGGGAAGAGCTTTTAACCCAAACTTTGGCAAAAACAGAAGGGCAAAAAGTTTTGGGCTGGGGAAAGGGAAGGCAGAGCAGAGTTAAGGCTTTACCCTTTTGTGTGTGAGTGCATAATGTGTTGTAATGTAACAACTTTGGTCCCGGCAGGCACGAAGCCAGATTTAAACAACGTATGCTGGAGCTGACGGACACGAACAACATTGCCTACTTATTTCTGTCAGCTGCCAACAGATGGCTGGAGGTCAGGACGGTACGTTCAGTTTTGTCCCAGCCATGGTTTTGAAACCTTGGAAGCAAACAGAGACTTTGCCTGATGCAGAGAAGATAATAACGAGTATTAATCTCACGAGGAGATTATACACACAGTTCCTTAAAATAGATCAGGATTGTTATGTTAAACCCAGAGGGTTTTTTCAGCTTTCTTGGCCAGGAGTAAGAAAATACAAGTCTGCCTCATCTTCTGCTGCTGTGCTGTCTCGCGTCTGAAGGGAGTGCGAGAACAAACATTTACATAACTTCAAACAAGACTTTCTCTACTACTGTGCAGCATCCACAGACCTGCCACAGCAGGAACTACTTTCAAGGCAGAGCATGGCTTTTCAGTGGCTTTATGAACTATGCCATCCTTCTGCCAGGGCTGTTTTAGGCATACTGATCTCCCAGGTCTTGAAGTATCTCTCCAGCAGCAGGGTTAATCCCACAGCTGTAAACTAAGCCCTTGCAGGGCCATACTGTTTGTGGTTTTATTGTTTGATATCATGAAAGATAGCATTACTAGACTCCAGAAAGAAAATGACAGCAGGGCACAATGCAGCCAATGACACAGACGTAGGCTCCTGGGTTTTGTGGGGCTCTCTGTGAGGGACTTTGCTGATCTGCAAGGCAAGAAGAAGCAAGCAAAGTAACTGTGATTCCCTTATTCATCTGAAACAGAAAGAGCAGTGAATAAACAGAGCAGTGGCCTGATTCTGCTGGACATAAATAGCAACAGGCATGGTTAATCCTCACATCAAAGGCTGCATACTCACCTTCTTTTCCTGTTGGAGCAATGAAGTTATTCTCCATTTTTTATGATGGCAAAGCTTTCCCTTGTGCTCTAAGCTTTCAGCTTCTTACAGCATCCAAGATCAGCTGAAATTGCTTCCAAATCTAAGACAGATAAATAACAGGGCAACAGCCAATCCTGGAAGAAGCCTGTTAATGTCTCACAGACTTAGACTTGCTTACATGCAGAATGAATTTGGTCCAAGAATACACTTTGCCTCATGAGAGCATTAGAAATAATGTGGTCTTGCCAAGGAATAGTTCATCTAGCTCTGCCTAATGGCACAGTGGTACTAAGACCACTAAAAACTTTGTGAGATTTAATAGCAGCTGTTAAGTCCTGTCCTAGCAGATGATGGAGACTCAAGACCATTATGCTCCATAGGTGTGAGTCACAGAATCCCAGAATCACAGAATGATTTGGGCTGGGAGGGAACTTAGAGCCCATCCAGTTCCAACCCCTGCCATGGGCAGGGACACCTTCCACTATCCCAGGTTTCTCAGTTCTCCATCCAGCCTGGCCTTCTAGAGATGAAGCAGCCACAGCTTCTCCGCTCAGCCTGTGCCAGGGTCTCACCACCTTCACAGGGAAGAATTTCTTCCTCATAGCAAATCTAACTCCCCCCTCTGTCAGTTTGAATCTATTCTCCCCTAAAATTTGAGTCTGTAATCTGCTCATAATTTCCTAGACAGATGAACTAGGCAGACCTCATTTCAAATCTCAGAAGGAAAGATTCCTGACACGATATCATCAGGCAGGAGGAAAAAATTAATAGAAAATGTGATCCAAAGTAAATGTAATGCAGGCAGCAGTGGGAGAGTGGGAATACCAACTATATCCCATTAATCAGCACCTTGACTCCACAAGATGACATGTGGCATATGCTTCAAACCTGAGGTAAACATCAAGAAAATGGGTTCCAGCTCTTGCAAAGCTTCTGCCAATAAAACATGTGCATGACATGTATAAATTCTACCAAAAGCCTTCCTGGACTTTGTGAAGTCAGTGATACTTCCTTTTTTGAGGAGGCAGATCCATAGTTGAGAAGACCTGAAGGAGAGTGCAGAGAGTGGAATTGATTTGTTTTAGTGGTGGGAATTAGAGGTGTCACTGTTATATCCTTCTCATGATTTTTTTAATATGCTTATTAGATTTTTTTGATCCCTGCTGTTTATGGGGTTGACACAATGGGATGCCTTAGCCCAAATGAATTTGCAGCGATTACTGGCCTATTTCATTAGTGTTCAGCAAGTTGCTTTGAGTATTTCAGTTTGAGCATCACAACCATGACCTCTTCCAGGGGAAAAAAAACAAACCAAAATTAAGGGCTACATGTCATTATATAAATAATTCTTAGTAAAGCAGAACTGCTCCACAGGTAAAGAAATGTTCTGGTTGCTGCATTTTTCCCTTTTTGCCCTGTCTCTCCTTCCAGGATTATCTGGGTGCCTGTATTGTCCTGACTGCTGCTGTCACTTCCATCACTGAAGGGCCACACTCGGGGTTTGTGGGGCTGGGTCTCCTGTATGCTCTGACGGTACGTGCCAAGGCCAAGTGTAAGAACTTCCAGACCAACATATTAATTTTATAACATTTTTATGTTACACTGTCATCTCCCAGCTTTCTTAATCTTGAAAAAAAAAGAGTCCTGCAAATAATGGACTCAAGCCAAAGTTGAGAAAGTTCAGGGCAACTTGGACTTGCTTCAGATTTTATGAGCCAATTAAGAAAACACAACCATTCCCAGGCCCTGCGTGCTCCCAAGTGGAGCAGGAAAATTAAAAATGCGTAAGAGGACCTGCTGTGCACTCTGTTTTGTACAACACAGCACTGTTTCCACCTCTACATGGCAAAACCTGCCAGGAAATACTGATTGTCATCATCTGGGTAATCTTTAACCAAAGACCAAATAAAATAATTGCTGAAGAAACAGAATTATTGGTTTTCCCCTTGGAGGGAAATTACTGAGATGCCCAAGATAGTCCATGCAATTATGAATGGATTTGGGGATTGGGACATTTGTGGGCATGGTTCATCATGCCAGGTAGCAGTAGGCATGCAGAGGAGATGGACTTAAGGATGACAAGGTTGTGGTGGTCCAGTAGCTGGTTCACTCTGTCATTGTCATTAGCAGTGAGAAGGAACAGTATTTTAGTGTACCTGGCTGCAAGAGAGGCTGAGTATTCATCATGAGCACAGAGTGAATGACAATCACCACGGAGAGAAGTATTCATGAATTAAGCACAAGAGTTGGGACAAAATATTACTGAATGAACCATGAGAGTGGGGACAAAGGCAGGATGATGATAGTGGCAGGAAGAACTTTTGAAACCATGACTGGAATGGCAAAAATCTGTCTGCTTTGAAGCACTGGTATGAGGAAAGGATAAAGGTGTGGGTCTAACCCTGAGATCTGGCTTTGCACGTAAATGCTGGTGAGCCCATGGCCACAACAGAAAGTCCTCAGCAGCTGCCTTAGGGAGACCTTAGATCCCCTCTGTGCTGCTGTTGCAACAGTGTGAGAATCTGTCAACAACTGAAAATCAGTCCCAGGGCTTCAGATTTACTCTGAAAATATTCCTGGTAATGCTGCTTCATTAGCAGGGATCTAGAAGCATCAGGATGTCTGCATCATCCTTGGCTTCTTTGTTTTTAGCCCTGTGTTTGCAAACAGTTCATTGGTGTGAAACAGGCATGTGCTGAAGTCTGGCACAACAGGTGAAGAAGAGCTTTAGGCACCAAGTGATCACCTGTCTCCCTCCTGCCCAAATAACCCTGATGAACTTTTGAAGGCAGCTGGATCATTACCTGTCTTGCCTGGCATAGTTTGTTTTTTTTTAAATAATTATTCTTTGCAGCTGAGAGAAGGCTGATATTTGGACCTAGATGAGAGCAAACTGTGCTGCGGTTGTGTTTACAGTGGACATCCTGAATTTATTCTCTCCTCTTTTATAAACCCTGCCAACTCCTTTGCACAACTGTGATGAAGCCTGAGGTAATGGGCAGAGTTTTGGGTGCCAGGTTGTGTTATCAAATCTGCCAGATCTAGGATAGCAGCCTGCCATTGCAAGCAGCAATGGTGTTTCATAGTGTTTTGCTTATCTGCAAACTTTCCCATTTCTGTAACTTCCTAACTTAAAAGCTGGACACCAAATAAGCATAACATAAAGGAGAGAATACCCCATCAAGAACTCTATCTTAAGGATAAAGCAAGCAGCCAAGTCTGCTAAATTAACCACAATTTTTGCTGAATCTCATTGAAAATTATTTACTGTTTGATTACTGCATCAATATTAGGTTAGTGCTAAAGAAGTGAGACTGGGTGATTTATTCTTAATAAAGGCCTTATTTGGCACTCACCAGAAAAAATGGCAAAGCCTTTCTCTGAATATGTTTGTGCATAGGGTGTTTTTGTTTTTAAGTTTCTAAAATTTCATTCAGGTGCATAAAATATCTCAAGTTTTAAAGATTCTTGTCAGTCAACTCTTCCTAATAAGATCAGTTCTTCTTTTCTACAGAAGCACCTAAATACAGACTTAGGAAACAGATTTACAATTTCCAGCCTTAAACAGTAAGTCCTGCCTAGAAAAGAGTTTTTCTAAGCTACTGAGTACTGTTAGAGAACTAATAATCAACTATTATCAACTAAAAGTAATACCTTTACTATTGATTTAACTATTGATAAAATCCTTTTCATTACAAATGAGAATAAAAACCAGGAAGGAAATATTGCTGAACTGATAACACTTTTTTTCCCTCATATATTTCTATGCTAAAAATTTCTCATATTTTCCACAGAGGGAAATGGATTATCTAAATATGTAGAAATGAAATTATCATAAAATCTTTACAATATATTTGCAAATAGTGAACTTTCTTAATCTTTAGTTGCAGTTTTTGAAAGATTAGAATATACATAGTTGAAAATATTTCCAAACAGCACTTTCAATTTTGATTTTTTTTCTGTTTGTGTGCTTAAAGAAGACACCTTTCAGTGCTGATTATTAGATGTTGAAAACAAGAGATTCCCTCCATCAGTCAGAATTTAGGTACAACTTTTCCATATTTCAACCTTCAAAAAACAAGGTTGAGAATACCAAGCACCAAGTTGCTGTCTTAGGGCTAATTGTATTGGAGTATGACTGGCTTCGTATGGATTTGATGCTGTTGCACTGAGTCTTGAACTGCTGTAATGTTAAAGAGACCCACTGTGTTGAATCAGGCCAAGGATTTTCACAAATGTATCCAACCTTTATTTCCAGATAGGTAGATGAACAGAAAGAAGGCTGAACCCTGTCCTTGTTTTCATTTGTGATGCAGATAACCAACTACCTGAACTGGGTAGTGAGGAATCTGGCTGATCTGGAAGTGCAGATGGGTGCAGTGAAAAAAGTACACAGCTTCCTGAACATGGAGTCGGAGAACTATGAAGGCTACCTGGGTATTGTTCCTAATCTTTTTGGGGCTTTACATGGTAATGTGAAAGAATGGTAGACTTGGTCATGCAAAATGTACACACCTCTCTGGCCAAAATCTGTTCTCACTGAGGTGTAGGAGCTGCCACTGGTGTGAGTGACAAGGATAGCTAAGAGAAGCTATGAAAATATGTTGTTCACATTGGTCAACGTGAAAAAAAATCCTATCAAATGCCAGGGAGACAGAGCAGGACTCTGTAGTACAGTCAAAAATACCACAGTTATAGACAAGATGAGCAAAACATCCATGTAAGTTATTTAGAAAACAAAAATAAGGATAAAAATTAGAAAAGTTACATGCTTCAAAATCTCTGATCTTTCTAGCAGATGGGGACTAAAGATAGGGGTACGTTGGCAAGCAGACCTCAGCAACTCTTCTCTGAGCTGCACATTGGAATTTGTGCTCCACACACTTCAAATTGTCCTTGATTACTATTTCAGAAGTGGTTGAAATGCAAGAAATGGCTCATAGGTCAAGAAGCTTCCCTGGAAAGCCAAGCTCCTTAGTCCAGAGACAAAACCTGCTGTGTATTCACAAATTAGGATGAAACAAGAGCTGTGATAATGTCAACAGCTCATGCTGTGTGGCAGTAACAACTTCCTTCCTCAAGCTGCCCTTCCTGCGCCGGTCACTGACCCAAGGCCACGCTAACACTGCCCTGACACCGCGTTCTCTGCTCCTTTGGCTTCTCCCTCTTGCAGTGCCAAGAGACACTTCAGTATCTGCCCTCTCTCCCTGCTTGTGGAGATATGGAAGCCAAGTGCCTGCCAGGCAGTTCCCAGCTCAGCCTCCCTTTGGCAGGGAACTGGAGCTCTGTACCTCCAGTGGCTTAAAGGAAGGTGCCCGGGCAGGAGAAAGGGGGAAAGGTGACTGTTGTAAAGGGTGACCCTCTGGCAGCACTCATTTCAGTTTGTTTTTTCTGTAACTATTTCAGATCCCTCTCAAGTCCCCAAAGACTGGCCCCAGGAGGGGGAAATCAAGATTGAAAATTTGTGTGTTCGCTATGAAAACAACCTGAAGCCTGTTCTGAAGCATGTGAAGGCCTATATCAAACCAGGACAAAAGGTACCATGTCCAGCAATTGCCCATCATCCCCATTCTGGTGCAGATTCTTCATTACTGAGCTTTCCTTTCTGAAGTGCCAGAAGAACAAGATTAACAACTTGCATTATCAGAGATATACATTTACAGTCCTCTCTGAGGTCCCTGGGCACAGATCAAAAACTTACACTGATAAAAGCTTATTCTTGGCTGGGAGCAATTTTTCTTCTGGATATCCCATGTCTTTCCAAGTCCATTTTCCTTGCTTAAAAGTAAGTCTAAATGGCAGATAAATTAGAAGGATATCAGACTGAACTGTGTAAAAACACAAGAGTATCTCGCATTTCAGTACAGAGTGTCATTGGCATCCATGTCAAAATGCTGAAATGCCCCTAGGACAAGTCCTCGTGATGAGGGGTGGAAAAGGGGAATATGCTTGCTGTGCTGTTTTGTGTTTTCCCTGGTGTGCCACCTGCCTTTGGGAAGGACCTTTCTACTTATCAGCAGCACAATCCAGTGCAGCTTTCCCAAAAGAGCTGCAGGTGTAAGTAAGGAGTAAGTGAGTAAGTACTCTTTGAGTAAGTGACACCATCCATTTTTTGCAGGTTGGGATCTGTGGTCGCACTGGTAGTGGCAAGTCCTCTCTATCCTTGGCATTCTTCAGAATGGTGGACATTTTTGATGGTAAGTTTTTTCCATTTTCCTTGGAATATATTGTCATTCCTCAACTGCTCCCCCCTTATTTCCTGAGAAGAAGCAAGGAGCCTTTTTGATAGTTTATAGCCTGGTTCTCTGGCTCAGAAGATATTTGATTAGAAATGTTATGCCTAATCCTTCAAAATACAAAGTGCCCTATTGTGAATAGCACTTGTTTCTCCCAGGAAATGTTGTGCACAGATTATATTTCTAATTAAAAAAAAATTGCATATGGCCTGACAAAACAATATGCAATTTTTGAGACAGAACAAAAAATATGTAACTCTCGAGTGTCTAAATGTTTGCCTAAAGAATAACTGCATTAACTTATTATAGCTGTCAAAATATTAGCAGAGTAGAAACTAGAACTCAACAAGTCCATTGCCTTGGTTTTTTAATTTATTTTATTATGCTTTCCCATATCTGCAGCAGAATTTGACTCAAGGGTTGGAAATATATTGCTATGTTTTCACTCCTGCAGCATTTACCTGTCCCAGCTAATTGGCATGGACTGCTTTTTAGCATTTATAATACAAATACATGTGTGCTGTTGGGAATATGGAAAACCACTATAAAGACATCTTTTTGTTTCAAAAATTGCCATGTTTCTAATTTAGCCATTGTGCTTGGAATGTTTGCCAAAGAAAGCCGAGTAGGATGTGGGAGGATAAATGAATCTGATGCAGCTACTACTTTCTTTTGTTGTGGTTCTGTGCCTATACGTGTCTATGGTCACAGGCTTCTGATTCATGACTGTGATTCCTGGATATACAAATATTCCAAAGAAATAATAACCATGCTTATGGCCAGCTTCAAGTTTCCTTCTATTTAAGTCTTCTTTCTGTATATTTTCTTTGTCTGCTTCTCCTGTATCCCTGAGTTTTCCCAATGGGAACATCTAAGCCTTTTCTAATCAAGCTCTGTTTATCCTTTGTGCACATCCCTGTCCCAGCTGGATCCATATTTGGCCTCCATGCTGATCCACTTCTGGGTGGGGTGCTGACTCTAATAAAACTTACATAATAAGATTTCAAGTAACTTTACTAGAGGCAAAATTTCATTCATGCTATTCCTTAGGTCTTCATTATCTCCCTAAACTTTATCTGTCCTATTTTATTTTCCTACTTTTGCTTTGTTCTTTAGTGTTTCCCTTCTCTTACCCGATGTTCAAACAACCTCCCATTTCTCTTGTGTCTTGCTTGATCATCCCTCAATCCTTTCCCAGTTTCCCAGCTCCTCTCAAATTTAATTTTTCCCTTAGGTTCTCTCATTTCCTCTTTTCTTTGAGCACCCTGGCTTCTATCAAATATGCATTTCCCTATTCCCCAGGCATGCCATATTAATTTTTCCCTCCTTATTCTACCTCATCTTCTGCTAAACCACTCTAATATCCTTGTTTGTGAAGAAAAGGAATTGCTTAAATTTATGCAACCACCAATGTCTCAAGCAGAAGTCCTATAACCTGATTTGGATTTTTCTGGAGAGTGAAAATAATTGGACTTTGCACCTTACAGATAAAATCTTGATTCTTCTGGCATATAGTAAAAGCATAAAACTACAATAATAGAAGTAGTCCAGCTAGGGGGGCAATGAAGTCTTCCACTGGAACAGGGTCACAGAGAACAACCTACAAAATGTATCATGACAATGGGAATGACAGAAGGGACACACGTACAAAGCTCTGAATATCCACGTGCCTGCCAGTTCACAGTTAAGTTCTCACTGCTGGGAAAGAGAACTGATGAAATGAATGTTAAGTACATCCCAGCAAGGAGTGCAGCTGCCTAGTGAAGCAATCCACATGAAAACTGCAGAAGTGCCTGATGGAAATAGCCTTTACCATATTCTCATTCAGTTTGCCACAGCCCATCCCTTCCCTGTCACCTCCAACCCCCACTACACATGCATGTATTATGCAAAAGAAATTGTGCTCCTTCTTAAAGGAAATGTCTTCAGCAACTGTTGAATTCAAGGGGAACAAAGAAAGGCACAGCAACCTAAATTGCTCTTGTTCTTGGTTTGTTTGGCTGCAATTGACCCATAATAAATTATCCTTCTGGTGCTATCATTAGTCACACAGAAGGGAAGACATGTAACTTTCTTTAAGGGAGGGTGGAGGGAAGAAAAAGGAAAAGAGCAAGATGGCAGTGTCACTAATAAACTGGGACATCCCTGGCTTGTGTAATTAGATACATTCACCTTCCCCATGTGTCTGTCAGGTCTGAGAGCTCACAGAGACAGTGTCCCATCATCTAGAGACCAGCCCAGAGGGGCTGTTCCACCTTTCCACCTGGTACCTGTGGATCACATGTTTTGTGCAATTCCCTCAGGGTGTTCTGTGTGTTGTTTGACACAGGGAGGATAGTGATTGATGGGATAGACATCAGCAAATTGCCTCTGCACACGCTGCGGTCCCGGCTCTCCATCATTCTGCAGGACCCAATCCTGTTCAGTGGCTCCATCCGGTAGGTGTTTGCCATCAGGGGGTGGCAGGCTGTGCAATGGGAGCTGGGGGACAGGAGAAGATGGAACAGCCAAGGAACCTTCCTAGCCCAGCCCAATCCATCTGCACAGCCTGCCAAGTGACACACAATGCCAAGGTTTTAATTTGCAGAAAACCTGAAAGTAATTGCAGTGACAAGACTGCTGTTATGGTTTTCTTTGCAGCTTTAATTTGGATCCTGAATGCAAGTGCACCGATGACAGACTCTGGGAAGCTCTGGAGATTGCTCAGTTGAAGAACATGGTCAAGTCATTGCCAGGAGGCCTTGGTATGTCTGAACCAATGTCTGGATCATGGGCCAATAATGGAATCATGCATGCACACAAATAAACAGATCCATCCCATCTGACACTCTGGATCATCATGTAGGATTGCCAGACACTCTTCATAGTAGAGAATATTTTAATTGAAAAGCTGAATAGTCTGGTTTCCCATGCACTGTGGAAAAATCATGCAACACCTCAGCATCATGGTGTGATTCTTGGGGCTGTCCTGTGCAGGGCCAGGAGCTGGATTTTGGTGATCCTGTGGGCTCCTTCCAACTCAGGATATTTGATGATTCTATAATCACAGTGGGATAATTACTAAGGAGAAAGAAGAACAATTTTCCTCTTTAGCAGAACCTGGCTCTGCAAGAAGAGCTGTAAACTCTGACAGAGTATTTTTCTTACCATTTCAAATCCATTTCATGAAGGAAACTTCCATATTTATTTCCATATTAAATATATTTCATATTACTAAGATATTACCCTTCAGCCTACCAGATTTTCTAACAATTTGTGCCAACTGTTTGTTTAGTGATACATTTCTCCTTTCCCAAGAGGCTGTGCTCATTTTTCTTGGTATCCCTCCATCCCACTGGTCAGTCAAGGTTATGGTTATTGGCTTTTATGGGGATTTTGCTTGGCCCTGGAGTAGTGCACAAGCAGAGCTCTCAGGGGCAGCATTTGAGAGGTGTTCAGATGTTCACAGGAACTGGTTTTGTTACAGATGCCATGGTCACAGAAGGAGGGGAAAACTTCAGTGTGGGGCAAAGGCAGCTCTTCTGTCTGGCTCGAGCCTTTGTCCGCAAGAGCAGCATCCTCATCATGGATGAAGCCACAGCATCTATTGACATGGCCACAGTGAGTACAGCAATTAGCTAATTAAGGATCTACCAGGAGAAAGGCATCTTCCCTAAGTGTCAGCCACAAAGTGTGAGATCTCTGTAGCAGAAAAAGCTGGCAGTTTTTTTGTTTCTCAGGATAAAATGAAACACTTTAGAGAACCCCTGCTTTCATAGGTGTGACATTTCCCTGCTGGGAAAGAGATAGTGTGGAATATGCTTAAAAACACGTGAATTAGAATGTAACAGGATGAAGTAACTGGAGTGAGCCTTTTCCTCTGACAGGAAAACATCTTGCAGAAGGTTGTGATGACTGCCTTTGCTGACCGCACTGTTGTTACAATAGCGGTAAGTATTAAGCCAGAAAAAGCTCTTTTTTCCTCATTCCTCAGGCAGTTAACCTTGCCCTTCACCAGTTAAATACCATTACATAAAACTAAAAGCATCACAAAGTAGAACTAAACTACGAGGCCAGAATATTCCCATGATACCAGAGCAAGTCAGACACCTACTATCAACCTGAAATTTTGCAGTAAATGCCCTCTTGCTATCAAACTAAAACACTTGGATCTGAACAAAGACTTTACAGGGAACTTCAGCATCTGCACTGTCACCAACAAAATTTGAAGTCATTCTCACTAAAAAATTGAAAGCAAATGCATAGATTGAACCATTACTGAAAGTTGCATCAAAATCTAGGTTTGAATTTTGCCTCTGAAGGCTATGTATGTGTAGTGCCTACAAACACAGCACAAATTTATGAGTTGAGATTTCATAATATTCTTGATGTGGCTTCTCAAGCTGGGTTATCTTTTCTCTCTTTTGGAATAAAAAGCTGGGTTTACAATAAAAGTTTTAAAAACTGGAATTTATGCCTAAAGAGCCTACAGAGGCTAGACAGTGTTAAAGAATAAGATAGATATTTATTAAAAAGGCCTTCAAAGGATACACCTTGAGCAGTACAAGAGCCTGGCCATGGCTCCACCCAAGATGGACATCATGTCACAAGTTTTCACACTTTTATAAGTTTTTGTCCATTTACATATTTGGGTTAATTGTCCAGTAACAGCTTCAGGTTATGCGGTCCCATCCTCCCACACTGCTCTCCTCAATTTGCCATTGTTGGTACTTTTGGGGCCTGAAGCTGCAACAGTGTCCTTGCTTTTCAGGCTGGAAAAGGATTGTTTTGTCAGACTAAACTGTGAAGAGAACTTGCTAACTCTTTATATGAAGTTCAGAGTTACACACCAAGGCAGTACAGAATTTGGAATATATGAAAGCTAAAACTTAAGGCATCAGAATCAATGGGAATTACCCCCCAGAATAATATGTTTTCAGCTAGGGGTTTATAATGTTCCTTCCCATTTTCTTGCCACTTCCCTATATCCATACATGTTCATACATACACGTGCATAGACATGTGGTGGACACCATTAAGAATATTTCCACTTGTGACAGCAGCGTTAGTCAACAAACAGAGGTTTTTTCCATGAGGTAAATACATGTTTCAACAGCTGTTTCATTTGCCTTGTCTGGAATCCTTGTCTGGAATTTGGAGTCCTGTGGTTAGAGATTACAGGCAGGCCTCCTGGACTCTTGTTTCAAGCCTGTCATCGAGTAGTTTGTGTCAAGCAAGCCACTTAACCCAGCTCATTTACAATGTGCTCCAAGGTTCTTGGCTGTGTAAATGCTGAAGATTCTGGTGGTGACACTGTTGTCCTTCGGTTCCATGCTTATTTTCCTTCTGGCTAGAATCTCACTTTTCTCTGGCTTTGTCTTTCCAAAGTCAGTGTCTCAAGTGAAACAGCACACATTAATATTTAGCTTTCCTCATGGAGCTGGCTTCATTCCTTCCTTTCCTTGTTCACTGATCTTTCCTTCACCCACCTGTTTTTCTGTTCTTTTTTCCAGCATCGTGTGTCTCACATCTTGGACTCCAATATTGTCCTAGTCCTTTCTGAGGGCTTTCTAGTTGAATGTGACACTGCCTCAAACTTACTCCTCAAAGAGGACGGCCTGTTCACCACTTTGGTGAAGACTCACAAGTAGACTCTCTCAGTCCACACTGTTCACAGGACTTCTGGCTCTTTGGTAGCTATTTTTACCTCTTCAGTTTCCTTTCACTCTGCTTCCTTTCTACTGCACAGCTTCTGAGAGGACAGTGCAAAAAGGTGTTTCTTGTGTGGTTCCTGGGCTTGTTTAATTTCATGACTATTTATGTGGATCATATGTAAATCTTAGACATGCAGCTGACACTGAAACTACCATGTCAAGGGAATCCAACCTATGAAGTGATGTCTGACTTTCAGCCTTTTTAGTGAAATATCACACTTTTAAGAGTTCACCCCATTTATACCTGACCGGCAGTATTTATATGGCCTTGAAATTAAGCTCAAACTGGTTTCAAACCTGTAGCCTATGGGATTAAACTGTTGCCTGGAGTACACTCAAATTAAATCTCAGAGGGATTTACAGAAGGCAATAGCCCAGGAATGCCCTGAGGTAAATGGAGAGCAGACTGCTGGGGTGCAGAGAACAAGGAGCAGAGCAGGCTGCTAAGTCACCTGACAGTGCAGCATGCTTCTCATCCCTATTTCCCACAGTGGAAGATGTATTTCAGTGGTGCCATAGGATTTATTCAAACAGCTGTGTTGTCCATAATGGCAAAAAGTGAAGCTCATGCTTGAGTATTTTCAGGCTTGGTGGCAAAGGCTGTAAAGTAATTGAAGATGTCTTCAGGTTAAAGTAAAAGGATCTATTCCAAATATTGCTGCAAACAAGGACAGCCTTTCCCCAATGGGGTTTGCCTTGCATGAGGCCCATTAGAGGAATTATCCAAATGAAAACCTGTTTGCTTTCCTTCGTGGCAGCACCGGGTTCACACCATCCTCACTGCAGACCTGGTCATCGTCATGAAGCGAGGGAACATTCTGGAATACGATACTCCTGAGAACCTGCTTTCCCAGGAAGACGGCATCTTCGCTTCCTTTGTCCGGGCTGACATGTGAACAGTCACACAATGCATTTTAACAGCTTATTTTTAAACAGATGAAATGCAAATATTTTCTACTCAGTGTAACATCACTTTTACCTTTTTGTTTTGTTTTGTTTTTTAGAGCTTCTTTCTTCACACTTCCATCTTTCAAAATAATAAAGCCTATTGCCATATATGTATGCATTGAAGCAATAAAAATGTTACTTTATTCAAAGCTATTAAATTTCACACACACGCACACACACATATGCACACACGGAGGGAGAAGTTTTTACTTCCTGAGAATTTGGCATTTTCCTTAGACTTTTTATTGACTTTATTTTTGTTTAAAGAGAGAAAAAGAATGCACTGAATTTATAAACTGCATATGTTATGCTGGAACCAGCAATCAAATCGTGCAGTTTGTCAAGGAAGCAAGAGGTTCCCCAGATGCATTCTGTCCCCAGAGGGAAAAATTAGGAAAAACATCCAAGCCCATAACACTTGGGCCAATCTGCTGCATTCCAAAGGCATAAACTTTGCTCTTCAAGTTGTAGTAGAGGGGCAGTGAATAAGGGAAAGGAATTTCATCAGGAATAAGGACATTCTTCCTCTCCTTCACTTTAGTAAGCACACTTCAGTTGTGACAGAACTATTTTCAGTGCAACAATGGTTTATTCGTACAGTCAGTTCTTAAATCCAAATTCATTCTTCCAACTTTCACTAAAGATTCAAATCATCCTGTGATTATGCATGCTTTGATAGGCTTATAGAGGAATTTTGTACAGTATCTCAAGACTTTGTATTAAAATTGATCTGAATGTATAAACTTGATATTAGCCAATCCTTTAATCATGTCTACTAAAATAATCTTCTTAAAATGGCATGTAATTAACCAACCACTAATAATTTTATATGTCTTTAGTTCTTCAAGTTCAATTTGGGGACAACTTTTATTTTCCTTTATATATCTATGGCCTACCTCTAAATCAGACCTAGTGCAAGGAGGTGTGATTTTCAAATTATTGCTATATCCTCAAGAATGTAGATGAAGTTAGACACATATTTACATCAGGCAGCTTTGCAAAGGTTGCCTGCACCTGACTTTCACACATAGTTTGATCCTGACCCATGGGCAGTAAACACCCAGGAGTTTCACAGGTATATTTTCAAAGGTACAGCTTGAGAGATCAGCTTCACTGTTAATATTCAAGGTGATTCTTATTCACCTGCTGCTACAACATTTAGGAAGAACACTAAGTGCACTTAAACCTATTTATAGTGCATTAAAATAACATAAGGCGCAGCATTTGGCCCTCCCCCCCCACCCTCCCCAGAAAAACCCCAATAATTTTGGAGAAGTTGTAGGATTTGAAACTGGGCTTTCATTTAGTCTCACAGTGTAAAAAATGATACAGTGGTTTATCTTTTTAAATTGATTTTTGGAAGTTTTTATTTTCTCTGAATTATTGAAAATAAAAGCTGTGTGACACAACTAAACAAAAGAGCTCAGTCTTGAACATTTTATGAAGGAAAGTACTTCTGTGATTTCCCTGTCTACCACTGTGAAAGCATTTTTGTTCTTTTCTGGATTAATTCCCCATGCTGACCTTTGTTATTCAAATGAAATACATTTTAAAAAAGCAGATGCTTGCAGCAGAAGCACATATTGTTATCAAAATTTCATGGCCAAAAGGCCAAAATTATTCTTGATTTAATTTAATTGTCTTCAGTGAAAAGATAATTGGATAATTGGATTCTCTGCTGTCAGACTGGGTATAAAGATGAAGCACAAAAAGTTTTGTTGATCTGTGTGTCTTTGATAACAATGCAATCCTGATTTATTTTAAGTGGTGCCAGCCAGTTCAATGAGATCCCTGTTCCCACTGCATTAAAGGGTTGCCATGGGCCTGGGACTGTGTCTTGTAATACTTAAGAGGGGCCAATAATTAGCATCTCTTTTCTCTTAGGTTTGTCCCAGAGCCATTACAGGTGTAAGAAGCACCATCTTTGCCCACCCTCGGCTTTAGAAGTGAACTCTGCTGTTTGAACAGGTGGTAAGAAAATAATAACAGGTGGTAAGAAAAAGATATGTGAGAAAAGGAACACATGATGGGGTGAGAGAACCTCATCATGCTTTATTCGTTTGGAGGGAGGAGTGCAGGAGCCTCAGGGTTAGATTCACCATGGCTGAAGCGTTGGGTGACGGCTGCAGTGGGTCCCACTGCTGCCCAGCAAGTTGAAAAGCACAATCCCATTTCTAAGGCATTAATCCTATTCAACATACACAAATCTTACAAGATAACAAACATAAACCACCTGCTGCAGACACAGGAGATCTCCTCCTGTTACAGCTGCTGTCCACATGATGGTACAGACTCGCCAAGGGCTTAGGCTGAACATTTTTTGTGTTTTCCTCTAAAGGAGGAAGGTGATGCCAATGGTTGCACAGCTGTGTTGTTACTGAAAAGGGTGCAGAAGGGACGAAATCTTTGAAACAAATTTCTTTTGATTTCATGTAAAGGTCTGAAGGGTGTCCCATTTGGGAGCAGTTTCCTAAGGATGTCACGTGCACAGAAAAAGAAATATCAGCTGGAGACTGTTTCTTTCATTCTTGTCACACTGCTTCTTCTGCTTGTAGGCCCTTCTTCTCTTCCACAGCCTCCTTGCTCTTTTTTCTTCACCATCTCCCTGTGTCATAGACCTTTGAGGCTCCTGCTTGTATCTCTGGATGCTCCTTATTCTGCCTATGCCCTCCCACTCCTTCCCAGATGAGCTCCATGCCCTTTGCCCCATTTCTTCTCTCACACAGCTCTGCACTCACTCTCCCTTCTCCTTTCCTGTCTTTCTTTCATAACACCCCTGCTCTTCAGGCGGACACTTACTCTAGTGACATCATGTTTTGGGGTTGGTTTGTTTTCTAAGCATTAAACCAAACAAGCTTTCAGTATTGTGATACTGTGCTTCAGAACTGTAAAGTTCTGCCTTCTCCAAAGGAGCTTTGAATATGAACACTGGCTATGTGTAAATTTAACTATGGATAGAGGAAAGACACCTCTGTGATAAGTTATAAATAATATTTCTCATTCCATCTGCATTATTTTTCTGTTAACTGTTCCTGGGAGAGAAACAGCAAAGTTGTTGCTGATCACAGAATCACAGAATGGTTTGGGTTCGGAGGAACCTTAAAGATTCTCTTGTTCCATCCCCTGCCATGGGCAGGGACACCTTCCACTATCCCAAGTTCCTCTGAGCCCCATCCAGCCTGGCCTTGGACACTGCCAGGGATGGGCCAGCCTCAGCTTCTCTGGGCAACCTGTGCCAGGGCCTCACCACCCTCAAAGGGAAGAATTTCTTTCCAATATCCAATCTAAACCTACACTCTTCCAATTTGAAGCAATTCCCCCTCCTCCTACCACTGCACTCTCTCACAGAGTCTCTTCCCATCTTTCCTGCAGGTCCCCTTTAAGTACAGAAACTGGTTGTGCAGCTGCTTGTGGAATCACAGCAGTGTTTCTTAACCTTTGGCTTACAACCCATGGGTGTCTTTCCCACTCCTTGAGCCAGGTCTAAGGGCTGGCATGGATCAAACTGCTCCCTTCCTGTATATGGCCTTTCATCAAACTCATCACAGCTCATGATAGCTCATCCCTGCTTCTTCTAAAGTAGAAATATGCCATACAACGTCTACTGAGCCCAAACTTAATCATGCTAGGAAACACTAGAACTTCCCCTGAGCAGTTTGGAATAGCTCTCTTAAGCCAGGGGCACAAGCCAGGGAAAGTCTCTGCAAGGAGAGATCTCTGCTTTGTTAGGCCAAGTGATACATACAAGAGGTATCTTAAGTGCTTATAAGTTCCAGTCTCACTGCAGACCTGAAAAAGCTCTTTATTTGCAGGAGTGTGCCTGCTTTTTCCAGCTGTATGAGTCAGCTGAAAGAATATATTCTCCAACGCTTCTCAAGGACTTGGACAAGCCCCTTTTAGGTTTGTTATAGCAGAACACCTCTGCTATAAATTCATATACCTCCAGAGAACTCAATTAGTACTAACAGGAACATAGCCCAAAGAAGTTACCATCTCATTATATATAAACTCTCTGCAAAGAGCAATAATATTGAATTGTGTTTTCTTAAAATAGAAATACAATTTCAAATGTGGTCAAGTAGTAAAAACTCCTTGTACAATAAGTTGTTTCATTTAATTGAGTGTGTTCTTTTTGCTTCCCAAAGCAATGGCTGTGCTTTATTGTGTAAAGATGTCAATACATTCACAGGCAATTTTGTTAATGCATCATGAAAAGCTGAAGGAAATCTCACATGAGCATTTTACATGAATGCTTGTAGATATTTTATCAAAAAAATAAATGGAGATATAACACACTTGAGTCAACAACTACCTTTATAAAAAAAAGCTGTTGACAGGGGCCATGTCTTTGCTATCATGTTTCCATTATTCAGTGTCAGAAGTTGGAATATGTTCCCCTTGGAAGCACTATAACCCCATGTCCTCAGTGTGATTCTGCCAGTCAAAATCAACTCTAAAATAGGCACTGAAACCACAGTGCCACTTGTAAAAAACTCTCTGAAGCAATATTCTCCCACTAAATGTGATTAAAAGCAACAATTAACTCTGCATATTTGCATCCTCAAGTAGCATCTTTTGAAAGCTTATTTAAAATCAAAATATGTTATGTAAATTCTCTGATATGAATTCCATGGGGGCATGTGAAGAACTCCTCAGTTTCTTTGGAAACTAAATCCTTTCAGAGGCTAAGAGACTACTAAGAAAAGTCTGAAAACAAAACTGTAAATCAAATTATTCGTTGCCATGCAAACATCCCAATCATTTCCACATTGGTTTTTCACTGCTCTGTTTTTTCTCCTCTAGAATTGACCTCTGTGCAGAACTGTAGGGAAAGACTATCAGGTATTCAAATGGTGAAAAAATTGTTGTGAGGCAGAAGTTTGCTGACTTGTACAAATTAGCAACTTGCTGATACTGTTTTGTTTTGGCAGCCCAGCTTAAAGTATTGGCTTGAATGAAGCCAAGAAACTTCCAAGTGTAATCTGTCAAGAGAAGAGAGATTTTTAGAAAATCTATTTACTACAGTTACTATTAATTATTCACTATTGATAGCACTTGTCTGCTGCTAGATATTACCCATGGAAACAGAACAGACACTCCTGGCAGGCATTGCTCATT